GATTGGGAGGAGTGGGAATATTCGCACGCGCGCAACTTTCTATTTGTCAAAAATGTGCCAACTTGACACAGGGTACTGGCCGTGTCGTTTATTAGCGACTACTTTCTAATTCAAGATTTTAAAGAATTCTCGCGTTCTACCTGTTACATTCGTGTGTATGTAAACAGAAGAAGAAAAAACACGAAGACGTTAACTTTCAACGGCTGAAACGATTTAATAAATGCAGAATTGCAGTACCTATCTTGCCACTATGGATATTAGGATGACAGATACAAGTAATTAAGAAGACTAATAAAGATAAACGTCTCTTTCAACAAAGAATGACAAATCACTTGGAAAAGATGTTTCAGATTGCACCGTTGCGCAATCGTTGGCTGATTACGCGATAATCGAAATACTCGATGGCAAATTGTGGAAATTACGTGATAAATTCTTATAAAAAATATCTGCCATTGCTCGACTATCAGAAGAGATTACGACGGAGTCGCTGACAAGAATTCCTCAAAATTTCGTTAAAAAGACCAAGTACGCATCTCTATAGCAAAGATACAAATTTGTTAGAGTTTAATGAAACTTGTGGTTCGATACTAAGAAAGCTACGTTAATCAGCGTTAAAAAAAAAACTACATCGATACTACAGATTTTCTTGCTTGCTTGTCTACGTGATACGGTGTTGTAAAGCTAAACAACGAAAAGATCTGAAAAACACGATCGTTCGAACTGGACTCGATTCATCGATCACAGACGGTTCGTGGACGGAAGAAGTCAACGTTCGGTAACCAAGTCGCGTGGAAAACTATGCCCATTCGTCGATTATAATGGATCGAGGTCGAAGCAGAAACTAGATGTCACAGAAGGTAACAGCGAGCTTTTATTCCCTTGTAAAGCATGCGATACCCGAAATACGAATGAAAATTGATAAACAAAGGACACGGTCGAGATCACAGAAACGTTATATTCGCATTTATGAAATTTTAAAACGAATCATGGTCGTTCAAGCGAAATCAAAAGGATTAACCTGTCAATCAGAATACAATAGAATTCCGCATATCTACACCCGAAGGACAAACGAGATGACATAAATCAGAGTTGTCGATTATCCCCACTATGTATGGTTCCGAAACGCGTCGAAGCTTCCATTCTGGTCGAGCGATATTACCTCCTATCGATAGACAAAGCACGGAAAGACTTATTTTGCGCTTCCAATATTCTATGATATACATAATACTCTATAATATATCGATAAGCAACTGTCCGTCTCGTTTATACGATACGGGAAACAACGTGTAAGCAACGTGTGACTGACAATCGCTGGAAAACGCCTCGACGAGAAACGTGTCTGGAAGAAAGTAATTAAGATTTCTTCCCAATAAATGGAGTTTCGATAAACGGAGTCGTATCGCGAGTGTCAGTTGACGGATGTAATTCGAGTGTACCGTAACGGGGCTCTGGCCTGTTGGAGACGATAGTCGGGCAAGGTCGTTCGCCGGAAATATCTGTCGGGATCAACTTCTGCCTGCGTAAAACGACCCTTCGAAAAACTCGTTCGCCCAGCGAAAAAGTTAAACGAGATCCTCTTACGCGTCTTTGCACGGTAAATTTGGCTGGCAACAAGACTTACGAACGAGTTTCGTTTCAACTATTCTCATTCGAGAACGCGCTCAAAGATGAAAAGAAAGTTATCTTGCTGGAAAAAAGAGATTGCCGTCTACGATCGATGTTATCCTAATTTACCGAAGGCAGTAAATTCTATTTAATACGATTACTTTGCCAATGGTCTTTCGAGCACTATCGATGAAAATCAAAATTTTGTAAAGCTGATTCGGTAATAGACGTTTGACTGTCGCAAAACTAAATTGTTAAATGTCAACGAGAAGATCATAAAGTGTACCTAAATTTCAATTTCATTAAGACTGATCACCAAAAATTGATTTTTAAGATACGGCTACGTAAAAATGGGAGAAACGTTTGCGCCACTTATCAACATCCGATTTAACGATTAAATTTAAAGCCGGCTCTTGCATATAATAAGACACATCTAGTTTAAAGTAGGCAAAGAACAGAACGACGACATCAAATTCACGCGCGCTCTAAGAAGCTGTTTCGTCTTTCGACAAAGGTTCCGAACAAACACGACTTCCAATAAAAATTTGCCAAGCGAAAAGATATGCAATTAGTTGCTTGGGAATTTTTATTACGAAATGATCGAAAGAAAACTGTTATAACGATCTGTGTAAATTTTCGAATTTCTCGCTTTTCCCCGGGAGAATCGAAAGAGCGTAGAATTTCAGACTTCGTTAAATCCGACGATTCGACATATTCATATTGGCGGAATAAAAAAATTGCGATTTACGGAGGAGAAACCAGCTCGCGATCGCGGTCCGGGCACAGCGCCTCGACGTTAGATCTCGCGATCAAGTTGACAGACGTTGGTGCAGGACGATGTGGCAAGAACCCGTTGAATTCGTGAGATTAGAAAGTAAATAGTGGCAGAGAATCAGCCGTGATTCGTCGCTGCATTTTATCACTTGGCTCTTGATAACGCGTGTAACGCTCTTCTAACGACGTTTCGTATACGTACCTATACCACCAACCCACGCTCTCTTATTTATCCTTCGTCTCGTTTCATACAATTACTCGTAATTAAGTTTTATCGGTGACTCAAATATGAGTTGACGAACCAAGGTTTGCCAATGTCTCCGGTATCAAAATCGTCGAAAGATAACGATGGTGACGATAATTTTTCAAGAGTTGATCGCAACAATTGCATATGTGCAAGTCATAGTTGGATCACGAGGCAACACTTTACAATTGCAAATCGATGAACGTTACAAAGTACTTTGTTTCTTTACGACTCGAATTTCTTTCGTTCAGTCCGTATCTATAATGGGTTGAACGAATTCTCTCGATAAGCCCTTGCCCTATCCATCGTTGATATTTCCGAAAAAAATGGCTACTCCTGTGTCACGAACCTCCGAATATCACGGTTATTAAACGCTCGTCGCTTATCGCACTACTTAACAGAACACGCGCGATATCACGAAAAGAAAAAAAAAGAAAAGCATACAAACGATAATTTTATCGTAACAGATTCCAACTTCCGTATCGGTTAACCGTCATTGAAAAATTCTGATTTAACTGTACGTATACAATGAAATATTTATTTGTCTTCGAGTGCTCGCTAATTCAGGCGAGCGGATTTAATCCAAGACTGGAAAACTAACTTTCGCTAAAAAATACGCCTAATCGTATTTTCATCGCAAAAAGATTTATTCTTTCTTCGGTGTATTATCGATAATATAATGCTGAAAATTTGTAAATAAGTAAATCATAAAGGATAAATGCAGAGAATTCATTGTGCCGAACTGGAAAGAAAGAGAAATTAACCGATGTATATTCTGATTCGTACCACGCAGATTCCTTCGCTTCCAATGATCAGAAATGAATTTCTTTTAGGTCATCGCAGCTGTACGAGTTAATCTCGCCATACGATCTTAAATAATCGTAACGAACGTATCTCGCCGCTCCAAACTTCGAACGCAATTGCCCCATTTTCGTTCTAACCTTTTCATTCTGTTTTAACAGACTTCACCTCTGTTTTTACAGACGGCGAATTAATCTATTTTAACGCGATCGCGAAACTTGGTCAATACCAGAAAAAAAGATCGTCGTAACGGATTCATCGTAAACCTGGAAGCGAAACGAAGAGGAATTTGATTTCCGCTACGAAACGGAAACATTCTCGCGTTCTAATAACCGTCCAACTCACGGGTTACGTGCAATGATTTCACGATTGAGTAACAATGGAAAGTATCCGCGAAACACCTATGGACAAGAAAAAAATAAATAAGCGAAGGAAGAAGAGAGGGAACAGAGTGGGGAAAGAGTACGAAGCGATTAGCGAAACAGCGCACTTTTTCTCGACCTCGTTTTATTAATTTCACGTGACACTTAATTCAGGTTGAAACGATTGGTTGATTAGTCGATGCTTCGTAAGCAACGTGCGATGCTGGAATTCGCGGCAATCGACAGAGAGAAAAAGAGAAACACGTGGCGATCGCATGCTCCAATACACCAGAAGCTTCCACGTATTCGAACGAGGAATCGCCTACGAAAGTCGTTTCACTTGCGTGCCGATTTTTTTCGGATCGATGAAAATTCGATCGGTCGCTCGTTGAAATCGCGATTTTACAAACAACTATTCCGTCTATAACTATAATATAAATAAATAAAAATGATATTTTCTCATCAAGATGTTTTCCAATTGAGCGTACTCGTACGCCAAAGTAGGCTCTGAAATTGTTCGATCTGGATCGATGAAATAACGACGACGAGATAAACATTCAAACTGCTCTCCGAGACAGTGGTCTGTAGGTGAAGATTAAACCGCCAATTCCGTGCTTCCGACGGAAAGACTAACATCGTTATCTCTATTACTAGGTTGCTTGGTTTCGAATTTACGTACCGTCACTACGGTATATAGACTGTAGACTACGAGCGCTTCGTAAATCGTTTACAGGATCCGTACAATCGGTTAGCTTACATTATGCAGCCTCTCGAACGAGATCGTTTGGCAATAGTTCGTACGTTGCAGGTTACGAACGGTATGCGAATTTTTATATGTAAATCGGCGCTTCCATTTCGGTCGTGTTAATTTTGATTTGCCTCGCGATGTCTCACGTCTATTTATACGCGTGCCGCGGTCGAACACACTTCCGTCGGGATTTAATTAATTCTCACGCAATCGAATGACCGCTCCTATTCGACGATGTAACCGTTAATCCGCCAATAAACCTGTTTCGTCAGCGTTTCACTGCGAATTTTTAATGGAACATCGTTACGCAACGCGCAACAGCTATGCGAGAGAATCGCGTTATTTTCCAGTTACACTGACGAATAATTAGAAAGCTAGCGAGCGATCGATGAGAGGATCGAACGTAAACGGAACCGTTTAGAGGAAAGAAAAGGGAAGATGATAGGCTAATAGTAGAAAAACTCACCTGTGAGCTGCCCCCGTGAACCGGCGCTCCTTGGCTCAGCATCTTGTGCGACATCCTGGTCAAAAATCACGATCGATCTCGTGTATCAAAAATGAGCCTCTGTGTACGTTTTACTCTCCTCGAGCTCTAACGAGCTAGTTTCTCTCCGATCGATCGATCGAAGACCAAGCCAGGCGGTTAAAGTGGCTGGTCCGGCTGCTGTTCGGCCCGAATCGTCGAATTCACTTCTGGAAGGTGCGAACACCGCAACCGTGATCGTATGGTACCAACACGCGTGCAGACAAAGTGGCACATACACAAACGGTGGGTGGCGTGTCGGTATATATCCTAGGAGAACCGCGTGTACTACACAGCCTTGTCGGGCGGGAACCAACGAACCGTTTTACTTTCGACGATTGCGAATCAACCTCGCGAACGGACGTGCTTGCACTGATCCTCCTCCTTTCTTTACAGACTTTTCTCTACGCTTTCTCCTTGCCTCTGTCTCTCGGCCGCTCTTGGGGGATGTGACTAAGCTAAAGGAATCTGCGAGTGTGGGAGACGGGGAACCGAACAGGCGAAACTTCCACCGAAAGGCAAAAGGGCTAAATAGGATGTACGTATGTATACGTAGCAGAGAAACCGAAAATCGTGCGTGGAAATTGGCAGCTTTTGGAACGTCGCGACACCACTCGGAGCCAGCGAAGGCGCACACGCTGTCACGACGTGGAGAACCGTGTCGTTTCCGGACAAGCGTGCATAAAGACGAAATATCGAAAAGGATCGGTGTCTCTGGAAATGGAACTGGAGAAGCGTCGCGAGCGTCGAAAAGACTCGGCTAGGAATGATTCGCGACGTGGGAGGCCGCGGGCGCGCAGTTCCGTCGCCTCTTTCTCCCACTCTTCTCCGCGGCAGTACCTCCTTCGTCCCTTTCCTCGTATCCGATACATGCGTACCCACGACCGTACGTGTACACGCATACAGACCCACACGCACGCACACGCACACGCATGCACACGCACGCACAACCACGAACCACTCAACGACCTAACGGCTAAGCTCCTCTCGGTAACTATGCTTTTCCCCCACCATCGTGCTCCACACAACCTCGAACCCCCACTGCACCCTCCTGATCACGGTCAACGTTCACTTCTCCGGGTTCTCGGACGATGTTCACCACCTCTACCGACAACGCTAACCACCACCACCACTGTCGGCAGGGCCAGCGTCGTTGCCACCACTTCCATCGTCTTTCTCTTCTTCTTCCTCTGCTTCGTCGTTTTCTTCTTTTCTATCCCTCTTCTTCGATCTACCTTTCTCTTTCTCGTTTCTCCGTCACATAACATCAACTAACCGAACGATTCTCCCTTCCCCCTCTCCCTTCTCGTCTATACGTCTCACCCCCTCCTCGAGCTCGACGCGTGACGCTCGTTTTTACCTCTTTTTCTTTCACCCGTCTCCTTTTTCGCCTGCGAAACCATTCGCCACTCCCATCGCACATGCCAAATCCATTTACGTCGAACGCATTTTTGCATCATTATCCGCCTATCAGGCTTAATAATCGTCTTGCATCGATGTTCGGCCTGCTATAGAATCAAGGTTAACGATATCGGCAGATTGGCACATCCAGCGCCGTAACGCTTCCTAGGAATTTCTGAATTCCTAAATTCCTCGCGCACCCTACGCTCTTTAACTTTTCCGGCCATTCGTTAACTCCCTATTATCCTGTGCCGGAGTCAATCGGTAATCGTCGTCGTTGAGTGTGAAATTGGTCGTAACGTAAAATCACCGATTACCGAATCTGGAATCGGACCAAAGGACACGGCCGATGCGAATCGATCTGTTTGCCGTAACTATTGGCAAAAGGGAGAAAAGTTGTTTCGCAGTATCGATAGGGCGATTTCGTTTAAAATGAAATTTTGCCAACTAGCGCATAGTTCTATATATTTGCTTCGTTTCTTCCAAGGACGTTCCAATATCTTCCCTGTTAATCGACACGGAAACTTTTATCGAATAAGACTAACGTCTCTGCGCAAAAAGTGGGAAAACGAATGACTACGAGTTTTCGTAGAAAAGACGTAATTCTGGAATTTCGTTATTTCTTCATCCCTCGACAATAAGGAATTCTGTAGCCTTAGACGTTCATCTGTAAATCTCCGTAAGACTCTAGTCTATCTATAGATGTCTATAAATTTGAGAATAATAAATATCAATGACGTTTTCCATGCAATCCATGCAATCGACACGCACTTATATTGCATACTGTGCATAAAAGTATTAGCGAAAAAAAAATAAAATGGCGATTCAATAGCCATCTCGATAGTCCTTTCGAGATCTTCAAATCGGCTAAATCGTTTCTCGTGACGAATCGTCCGAGTAGCGAAAGGAACGAAACAGCAAATCATATATAATACGCGTTAAAAGCGCAGAATCACGGATTATCGATTCTGAAATTCCCTGGCAACTATAATTTATTTCATTCTCTTTTCACTCTCGACGACGAAAAGGGAGAACTGTTTTCTTGGCTTGCTGCGATCTGAATCAAGAATTACGAAATATATACGTTCATTCATGGGTTTCTTCCCCGCAGACAACGTTCTAAAAGAAAGATAATATTTGAAGTCGTAAATATCCTTAGCTAAAAATAACAGTTTCGTTTGATTATTTTACGACGTAGATCATCAATCATGGAATTTGATTATCTGTTCGCGGCATTACCGGATTTCACTATCCATAAGCAAGTTTATCGCATGCCACGCGAATACCTACATATGTAGGTATTTCTCATGACAACACACAACAACAGAAACATTTTCTTAATAGCTTTCAAATAATCGCGCTCGTACATGTCGATATCGTCGTGATAATTGCTATCTCCTGACAATACGTCGTTTCATACTTTGATTGGAGATGTCGTTGGAAATGTTTAAATGCATCGGATATTTATTTAGTCATATTTTCGCATGATTTGGAATCTCGCCCATGGCTGCGATTCTAGAATTGATTTAAACGCGATTTAAAAGCTCCTTCTTCGAAACTGGTTTCAACGATCTTTATCAAAATTCATACGAGCGAGATAAAATATGATCAACGTTTCTGTCTTACGGCTGAAATACGGTTTTTTAACGAATACGTATTCTCACGGTGATAGGTGACTCACATAATTTCGCATATTTTCCGCTTACCGTTTCATCGACACCGCTAAGATAACCGCTCGCGCACGTGTCAACATTCAAGATTCGTCAATTTTATGACCTCATCGTTATTTATTTCGAGCCTGTTCCAATTCTCCGAGGATCAGGGTTAATAACATCGTTGACACCTTGCTATCGATGTGTGCGCAGAATGCAGATTAAAGCGATGGGTCTAATAATTTTTTTTTTCAATTTGCACTTCCTTTTATTGTGTCTGTTACTTCAACGTTTGCGTATCTGTGCTGTGTGTCTTCTTGGAATGCACGCAATATCGTTTTACGCGTAATAAACAGCTTTTGTTAACAATATCGATAAACGTATCATCACGAATGTCGACGCACCTTCTCGTTCGAAATAAAATACGGATTAAAGCTGATGAAGAAAAATGAGAGCGTATTTGATTTCGATAAAGAATTAGTTATACGATATAGCAACGTTATTTTCATTTCCTTCGGAAGCAGCGTTTAAATTAAAATAGTAAGACAATTTGTATTTCGTATTTCTACTTCCTTATTACGAAAAAGCGCTATCGTACACTAGCTTCCCCAGCAACAAACGGACGAACATATCAACGGAATAAGAGGAAATTATATTATAAAATATTAATTATATATAAATAGTAATTATAAAATACAACCTCTTTACTTTTCCTAAAGAATCGAACGAACCCCATTAATTTGGCAGTCACTGGCGTTGGATTTTCCCGCATAATAGCCTGGTTCGATTTTCCGTTTCTTTGCGCGACTACTGTATTTCTCGCGATGGAATCCTAGAGAAACAGCGTCGCCTAACTGGCATTCGTCAAATAAAGAATTAAGATCGAAACCAGTCGGCCGACGCGCTCCTTAATTACTCCTGCTCGAATCGAGCCGCCTTAGCAAGACCTCCGGTTAACGTTCGCGTAATCGTTCGTACACGTACTCGTTCGTTTCCATCGCCTAATAATAAACATAGTGGGCATAGGTCGAATCCATGATTAGAAACGAAAGAATCATCGTCGACGTTATGTCGATTCGTTCGATCAACGTAAATCGGTACCGATCTACTTGGCCGATTCGGGATCGAGGTTAACGGCATCGTTGACTCCTTGTTTCGAGCGAATTGCCGCAGACGTCTCTTTCACCTCTGTCAATTACGGGAACAGTTGTCGGCATCCCTCAGACCAATCGACGCATTAACATTATCGAGCGGCGTTTTCGACCGGTAATAACAGACGCGAATAAATCATCGGCTTCGTTAATTTCTTTTTTCGTTATCTTCTTCTCTCCTCTTTGGTTCTCCATCGTTATTTTTTGCGAGCACGATCTGCGAAAAAAAATTAGTTTTAGAATTGGAGTGCGTTGGCTTGGTTTCCTCTTAATCGAAGTTTCTCGTATCATCATCGTCGTCAAAACGCATCGAATTCACTCGAGTATGTCCAATAGCTTCAAGACAAATTTTTATGTCTGCCAATTATTAATAGAGAATTATTAAAAAGTGCGAAACAATTTCCCAACTTTAGCACAACTTTGTATATTTTCACCGTGCTTTACATTCCATATTTTTTTCACGTTAAAGACTGTTCGCTTTCGAGTATCGTATTCAACTACATGGATACGGTTTCATCATTTTTTAACCGATTTATAACTTCGCGTTTCACCTCGTACAACAAACAATATTTTAGCGTGCCTATTTAACGGTAGAAGAAAATATAATTTTTTTTTCAGACTCTCAACATTTAAAAAAAATAAACAAAAAAATTCGACAAAGGAGTACTAATGCAACGATTTACCTCTCGAGGAAAATTCAGTGTCACTTGAACAGCGAGATAAAGGCTAACAAACTCGTTTCAAGGAAAAGATAAAAAATGACCCTTTTCAACGATAAAGAAAGAAAATTTCGAGTAAAATGGAGAAAAGGGACTGCGACAACAGGTGCAATCTCCATCTGCAATACGATGGAATATTTTTAACTTTAAGAATTAATTACAATTCGTTGAACAGCAATTTCAACAACTTTGCTGCACACTTTCATATGAATGGAATGGAATTTTAAAAAGTTACACAAAATTTAAATTTCAATTAGGATCGAGTTATTTATGACAAAAATACTTTGGCAATGTCGTTTTTTTATGCCGCTGCTCAATGAAATCTTTCACTCGTGTAAAATTTCGTTGTCTTTGATTCAGAATAAAAAATCGGCGCGTGTTACGCATCCCAATCGCATTAAAACGAAAGATGTGATTCTTTTATGTGACGACACGCCCTTTCATATGCAAAAACTGCAAGTAGTTGACACGACGTTACCGTATGACTTGTGCGTAACAAATACACGCTCTTTATGCATGTACCAGAACGACGTTCTTTCGTTTTAAGATCGCAAAACATTAACATGGTTTATGGATGTCCGTCGCATTCAAAATCTACGAGCTGTTAACATAGTATCTTACTTACTTCACCAAGATTTTTATACACTTGGATATATGATATCCATTTTTCTGCAGCTTGTTTCAGCTACTCTTTCGTTTAATTGATAGCACCAGAAATTTGTATATAAAATGAGCAACATTGAAAAGAATCCTATGAAATATCTTTGAAATATACAGTAACTCGAACATAAATATAAAGTATTTAATCGAATATAAAGCATTCGAACGCTTCTAGAAACTTTTTACGTATATATCATTCAGAACATCTTGAAATCTCATTAGCACTGTGACGGGGCATATGTATCGTGATTATATTGGTAAAATTTAGAACGGATCTGAAAATGTATAAAATATATAAAAATTTCCTCAAATGTATAATGCACATAATATACATGTAATTCAAATATTTTCATGAGCCACTGCATATCTCACTTTCTCACTTTCATCCTAACTATGAAATTAATCGGTACTAAATGCAAACATCGACAACTTCCATATAATCAAAAGGTATAAATTTTAAAATATATATAAATATAAATTTCATAACCTCGTATCGAGCGTAAGTAAACTTACGTCGAATTAAAGACACACAAATACTGATCATATCAGTGAATGACATTTTGTCACCATTATCCAACACTGATCTAGTTAAAGCAACCGCGTTATTTTCATATTGAGCAGATACGTCGTAATCAGAATGAATTTAATCAACGTATACGTTGTTGCGCCCGCGAAGCATGTGGATTTGTTGGCTACGCATATTTTCGCGGTGGCATCGTGTAAAAGATCGCGCCACAATCAAATACGAAACCGTTGACCGGTGGCGCAGCGAAGCTTTGTCACGGCAATACGATATTACGCTCAAGATTTGAATTTAACGACGTTGATATCGTAGGTAATGCGAAACTCGCTTGGCTCCGTTTCACAACGTGTCCACACGAAAGAAAATTTTCCACTACGAGGCCATCCGGTAGGAATTCGCGAAGTTCGTACTTACTTGGTTTCCTTTGTCAGAACGTGCAGCTAGAATGAACTTCGTTATTTTCAATTAACTTTTTTGCTTGTTTCCGTTCGTACATCATACTGATAGTTGATCTGAGAAACATTCCGTAGATTTCACCAGGCAGAGTAAGAAGAAGAATAAAACTATCGAGATACTATTACTCCTGTATTCTATTTGAATAAAAGTATAGGTTAGGTTTAGCTGAGTTAGAAATAAGAATATGGGTGACCTCTATGTGGCGCATTGAGAACACCATTTTGATATATGTAATATCGCATGTATCATGTATGTATGTACCATTTACACGAGCGTATATTTATATTTTGGATAGATGTTTATAGTTTATCTTTCCTACTTAGTTATTTCATGTCCGAAAAAAGTAAACATACTTGCATTATTGAAAATACTTTAGTTACCATATTATTTGGAAAATATTCAAACTGTATATGATTATACTTATAATTTGTAGCGAGCATTCCTGATTAAATGTCAAAATAGTCGAAAATTAAGAAATTTAAATATGCGAGTAACCTACATTCCATTATAATTTTGTATTTTCATTGCCTATCCTCGTTCTTTTTTGTTCATTTGTCTTTTAAAACGTAACTTTCAAAGATTTAACGATGGGGAAATTGTATATCCATCAACGATTTCTCGTGAAAGTATCCATTCAAGTTTTCATTATAATCTAATATACCGAGTTTAAATGCAAAAACTTGATACCGTGCATACTCGATCGTGGTGCACGAGATACTGTCCATGTTCCGTTTAATTTCTACTCATTGCAAAAGTTTTGCAGACATTCTTATTTTAATCGTATTTGGTCGCACGGATTAACGTCGTAACTGCAAATGCGCCAGTGATTTCTAATCATCGATACTATCATTACCTGAGATTTCATTTATTCGTCTCGATATGATAATCTTGCTTGACGGAAGCGTAACAAAAAGCGTTTCTATTTCACACCCGACATCATAGAATTGAACTAAAATATCCGACAGTAAGTGTACGTCATTTAAGAAAAGACTTTACGAGCCTACTATTTACACATAAATAATAGAAGCTGTTTTCCATGATAAAGATTCCATCGTACATTCTCAAATTTCGAATTCATTCCAAGGAACTGCTTCATTTGCCTGTCAAACGAGGCTGCCTATCACATCGATCACACTATCAATACCCATGCACAAACAAACAACCCACAGAATCCCGAACATTTTGCGCAAACAAAACTGTAAGCAAACACTCAATAAATAGTACATACGTTTGTCTATCGAGCCATCCATCGATGTCTCAGTAAAAAACACCATCTATTTATGATGGATCGTTCGTCGATCCAATCCAAAGATATTGCAAGGATGTGCGAAAATCGGACAGAATTCAAATGAGAATTTTCAGAGCGCCTCACTGTCTGCGATCGATGCTTCCAAGGCTTGTATATAGGTCGCAATAAGATAAATGGACAACGATGACGCAGATACATGCAAAAACTTCGCGAAAGCATCACAATGGTATTGGTCCTTCGCCCACATGAATCCCTTGAATCGGACGCGCGTGTGTATCCAGGCCAGATTTGGTTAAATCATCGCGCCAGGACGAAAGCTATCCTCGTGCGAACAACACCGTCCTTGAGACTTGAACTTTGTTTTCAGTGGAGGAAAATAGGCTATTATGTCGATGATGCTGTTTACGTTGCGTCGTTTGTTGAGTTGTTTCCACGATCGCAGTCAGAACTATATTCGACTTTGTTTTTGTGTGCAGCTATAAGTTTCGTCGTATATGTGCTGTATAAAACGTTACCTAAGGCCTAGAAAATTCGGTAACAGTTACTAAATGGTTTGGAAGATGAGAGAGCTCCTTTGCTTCCTTTCTCTTTTCTTTTTTTTTTTCTTTTTTCACTACTTTATATTATCTTGCTTGTAATTGAGAAGATATTGTTAATGAAATTCAATACATTCGTCCAATGTATTGGTATTAATGATTTACATGCACTTTGACGATACAGTATTTCTCGCGCGTATGTACTTCGTGACAGATTGTATTATTGTCGTTTATGAAAATCATTTTCAACAAATTAGTCTCGTTGTCGTGATTTATCGCACTCGTTAGAGCATAACAGAGATTGATTGGCGATCACGCGAAGATTTACTGATTTATTACTATACTGGAGATACCATAAATTGATAACTATATACAAAGACGAATTGAGCTACATACGAATACATACTTCCTTCTAGCATTGTTAAGGTCTGATAAGAATATAATCTCATAGTTTTAATCAGTAACGCTTACGACAAGATGCTATTACCAATCATTTATTGTTAGCATACATGTTCCATCTGCGTGATAAAACTCGATCGATTTCCTTTTATTTTATGGAAATTTAGGTATTTATTAAAACCAGTTTTCCCCGATACTGGCTAGAAAGTAGTACATAATTACTATTCGGCATCTCGCTAACTAACAGAATTAAGCAATTCGTGATTGTATGATCTATAAATTACTTCGTTATAACTTAAAAGAATAAGCCAAAAAATTCAGACGACTTGCAACGTTTCTAAAACATATTTATATCTCGAATATACACAACACATACGAAATTTTTCTTATTAGGAGATATAATATGACTACAAAGTGTTGAGAAACTGTTGCTTACATAATTCTGCAATTGCATAACATGCGGTTGAAACATTTTGGCGTTATCGGTGGAAAGTACCGTCAGTTACTTAACATTTATAAATGAACAATTTGCACATTCTAACACTCTAAGGAACAGCCAGTTGAACCCCAACTTCGGTCGTTGTAGAAGTAAAAATATGTAAGAACATTTTAGCATACATTCGTAAATAAAACAAGAGATATATAAATATAGATTACACACGATAAGTATAAAAAATCAAAGTATCAAAGGTCTTTGTATGTAAATATGTAATAATGTAATAACCATGTGCATGATAATACGATAATATTCATGAGAATATTGATATTTGTAATATAAATGTGTCATAGCAGTATTAGCATTAGCTGTATTAAAAGCTGATAAATAATAACATTGTGTACAACATTATTACAATTACAATGTGTGTAACAATATTATATTAACAGTTGATATTAATAATTAATATCCTCTTCGATCTTTTTTATTCTTTTATTTCTTCATTTTGCACAATGCGTTGTCGGATCAAAAAATCTACCGATGTCGAGAAAAAGATCGAGTCATAATAATTATAACTGCTACTTGAGTGTCGTTTACTAACGTTATCATCGTAAAATAGCAGCGGATACGTAGCAACACGTGCTTATATTGCAGTCATAAACGTGACTTCACGCCATAGATATGTATGTACGAAATTCGACCTTGTGTTTTAATGCTTGCGTAGATCTTTTATTTTAATACGCAAATTATAGTTTCAAATTTTCTTTTACTCTTACCTACATATTAGTAGAATTCTCTTTCTGCACTATTTGATACTGCAAAAATTCGTATAGGTGAATATGAAGAAAATAAAGATTTGTTTAAACAAATAATTATCTCACTAAAACCTATATGTAATTGAATAAAATGAACTGATTAAAAATTGCGTTTCCGAGCTATACATATTTTATTGTAGATACAATAACGTGATTTACGCATTACATTCCACGTAAATCACTCATTTACTTGCTTGCTAACGAAACAAATGGCATTTATTCTATCATGAATTACACACATGTATTCACTATACTCTTCGTTTGGCATAATATAGAGTTTACTGATACGGACTTATTAATATTTTATAAAATGTCGTATGAATTTTTCGTATTTCTTTGTAACATCATCCAATGTTTGGTGAAACTCGACGATCGTGTAATTATTAATAATTGGAGTATTAATTCTTTTCTTAATCATGCGTAAATATCTTTCCTACTCTCAAAAAAGAGCATACGACCTAAAGATTTAACACGTAAAAAATTAAAAATATGTTAACGCTTCCTCGAATTGAGATAAAGTTGCAATTCTATTAAGCGAAAATACTATAGACTTTTTCCAACGTTTAACTCAGTAAGGAAGTAAAGCTTACTCGTATCCTGTACGGTTATCGGATATATCAAATTAAAACATAACCTCTAATGGAGTATGCGATTCTCTCGTTGCTTTCGCACTCTCGAATCGTATACGAAACCTCAAATTATAAAGGATGAATCTTTTTGAAGGAAGGACATTCGTTACATGTGGTTGATCGTATCCTGGCTTTATCGAACAGAGTACGTTTCTAATACACAGACTTGGAAGTATTGCAAACGCTATGGCAAACGTCCAACCGGGCCCCTTAGGCCTTCTTATCTTGAGAGGGGACCAGGCCATGCGAGGCCTCTCGACCCCCGAGTACATTTCCTGTCAAAAGTAAGTGATGTTCCTAACGTAGATCGCATATGACGTTCTATTCTTGAGACGTCTGCCGCGACATTTTCAGCTTAAAATTCCTAACGTATTTCTCATCGAGATGAACGATTCTACGTCAGAGAAAAGTCAAAAGCAAGTTTTTTCCTTTTGCGTCATCATTCCATGGCCATTTCATGTCCTCGTTACGCCGCAATTTCCTTTCGAACTTTGTTCGCATAAGAGGCTCTACATTTTGATGTGGAATGATTTTACTTTAAACGCAGCACATCTTTAGTATCTTTGATCGTAATTCTATCACATATAAATTATATTAGAGTTAAAAATAAAATTAATGTTCCTATAGAATATAGAGTAGTTTTTGCATATTCAGCTTGATGGAGTTTATTTTCGATCAAAGTGTACGGCTCTTATTCTATGAATAAAGTCAACTTATCACCGCAACTGTGTTTATGTCACTACCATTGCAATCACAGCCAGTTTATGATTGAATGATACCAATTAATTAATCCATATATATATGTGCTTAACAGTATTATTTTATTCAGTTCTTTATATACATTCAGATTGATCTAAAATTCTACTTTTTATTTATATATTTACCCGTTGCCGCCAAAAATTCCACGAATAGAAACATTGCACGCTGATAATGGCACTCCTCCGAATCACAGCGCAGGAAACCTTAACTGTAATGTACACAAATTTTATTAAGAAAGGGATACGAATAAGCAATGATTACATATAAACGATTTTATGGAACGTTACTTTAATTACGATGTATATTATTTTTCTAGCCCAAAATTATTTGTTAAATTTTCTTCTAATTTTATTTCTTAGATCAGTACTGGCTTTTTATGTCATTGAATAAAAAAGAAACTTTGTACTATAATTACATTTAAAATCTGTAGTGCATATAGTGTATATATAGTCTATAGAGAGGATTTCAAATTCTTCAGGATTAAATCCTAACTAAAGAGACATGTGTAGAGCTATGCAAACAGTACGTAATTCATAGTAACATAAGTATTCAAGTAATATAACATTTTTATTACACTGTCATTCTGGAAAACAAAGTCGATATGAATTAAATAAAATATCATAAAAAAATTCTTATAATATTAAAAATTCAAATTTACTCCAAGGAAAACGGTCGTTGACGTTTGTAATTAAATTTTATATTGAAAAGAATGTAGTCAAATTACTAGATGCCTCAGAAAACCGCAAATCTAGCCAATTGAAATTAATCGATTGAAAATATAAGGATGGCCTTCGGTTTAGTCTCCTAGCGGACGTAATCTCGTTTTTAGGCGCGGCTACAAAGCGTCTACAAGGTGGTGGCAATCGACTGCTTCAGTGGAAATTTCCATTGCAGTTGGCATGCTGTGTGGTGTGACTGTACAGTCCACCATAAAAGTAACGGCTTTCTTATATTAAACATTGAAAATATTAAATATACAAGAAACAATTCATTATTTCTTTTTTATATCATGATTAGAAACAATTTTGTATTATAACAAAGTCGCAGAAATGACTTAACCTATTCACATTTGCGGATGAGATATTTCGTGTACAAATTTATACCGAAAGCTTTCATAAACGAGATATTTCACGACGCAATATCATATGCTATGAACGAGATATCTTGCGTCTTTATTTTTTGGTATTTGCAATTAAAAAAAAAAAAAAGTTTTAAAAGTATATCATATATCTGTTATTTTGCATACACATCTCTGATTTATAGATGGGACATTTTGTAGCGTAATAAGAGACAGAAGGTGTATAACAAATCCTCACAAAAAAGAATATAAGGTGAAATGCCAATGTTCAACATCCACGTTGCGAGTCACGTGGTGTCATTACATCATTCAGGATTCGTACATAATATTCAATAAACTACTTTTGTTGCTATACCAGTCTTAATTATCTCATTAGATCACTCACATCCTTATGTGCAATCATACAATGTATATGTACTCATGTTCTTTGTCTCACTTCTTCCTTTTATCTTCTTTCAGATTTTCTGGTAACTATATGTATACAAGGATAATTCAGTACATGAACACATATATATTATAATTATACGTATCTACATTCACAAAATTTCACTTCAATTGCCGTACGTGAAGTTTTTACGAAAACTACCGTGTATTTGCAACATAAGCACTAAATATGAACATCGCAGATAGAAGGTCAATTTTATGGTTATAAAATAGACCTCAAATCATACATCGATAGAAGAGTATACCTCAAAATCCATCACGAACAAGTGATAATTTCTTTTTTATCTCCAGAACAAAAATTAAAAGAGATATGATAATAATCTTAATTTCAATTTTGAAACTATGATTTATTGTTAAGAAAACTAAATATTATTAACTTGTCCTAATCACGTAGAAAAAGGATTGCATCCTAGCACTTGTTGATTATGCTTGCAATGTAAAAATTGTTTTTTTATACGTATACGTATTTATATTGTTCGAGCGCTTTTCATTATTACATATTATAACATATTACTGTTTTATAATGCTAGTGATAGATTTTGTGATAAGAACTATATTTGTAATTTTTGTTTTCCATGACAGTATAAATTTATATTCAAGGCAATTTTGTTTATTAAGTTTGTTTCTATCTTTTACACTTTTAAAAATTATGAGGAATAAAATATATTAAATGTTATGTATAGATTATTAATCTAATTGCAAATGTTAGTTTAAAACTATATTTAATATTAACGATAAATTTATAGAGAAGAGTTCATTTAATGTTATAAAAATATAATTTAATTAATTTTAAACGTTACTCTGTCTTTTATGTTTATATATCGCTAAATGTAACAATTAGATTATAATTTATCTAATTTACTTGAATTTATAATTTAATTGATGAAAGGGCGAAATAATATAATGTATTTGAACAAAGTCAATTATAACTAAATCCTTTTGCAGCAATCAAAATGTGTAAAAAATATAGGGAAATGGAAAAACTTCCCTAGAAGAGATAAAACAAAAGAGGGCGATACGAGTAGTATGAATCATACTTTGAAAACGATGTTTCGGTTTGATCAGCTGTTGTACATTATTCGACACCAATCAGCTGATAGAACGTTGACATTATATAATAATCTATCCGGAAATTAAAAAAAAAAAAAATTAATTTGCGATCAAAAAAGTAAGAAATAATAACTTTTTAATTTTTTACTATAATTTACAAAACTCTATGCTTTAATAGTGATAGATTTATTTACCAGATGTAAGGTGTAAAATGAAATAGCAGTCATTTTCTGAACGCGGCGTGCACTGTGGTTCGAAATTTACTTTGAACTTTTAACAAGGAAGCGTTTATTGTGTTTCTATCTTTCTTGTAAATGTAAATTATATTTAAAAAGTTCAATTTACATTTGACTCGGCAAATTCACGTATGTTATTCATGTGAACGCTTCCTACCTTAAGGTAATTGCGACACGAAATAAAATCGATCCACAGTGTGTCATAAAAATAGCGAAATAAGAACTATATACTCGATAGTTGCACGTATTATTCGAGACAAGCGATATTCAGGTTGATCAGTCGATTTGAGTAAAACTTTCGAATTTGTCTCCATAATTGATCAACAATAATCTAGATTCTAGTTAACAGAATCGATCTAACTTGTATCACCTGCCACGCAGCTGTACGCAACACAATGCAACGATATGATGTTTATGCTGTTGTTAAATTATCGTTTTTCGGCTGGACTATGTGCATTAGCGAATCATAGAAAGAGGAGAAATCGTTTGCCAATCCGAGTGCGATGGTTTACACGTGCGAGCGTTAGAAAGGATTTTACCATGTAGTTTCACAGACAAGAAGAGATGCTTTAACATGTTCAAAATTCTATTCAGTTTAGTGGAATTCGATGTTTTTGATTGGACATTTGTGTTTCTTTGAAAGGAACTTCATAAAAAAATAACAACGTTAAAATGTCCACGTTAAAATTGAGTACTCAAGACAAAAAGGACTTGGACAAGTTCACCAAATTTTTGGCATTAAAGGCTGCACAAATCATTGTGCAGTCGAGGTCAGGTGAAAAGGTTAGCACAAAGTGCAAGCCAAATTCATCTGGAACAGATTGGGTAAGTTCTTCTATTTATAATAATTTTGATTGCATATATATGTTATGGATAATGCACATATTTACCTTTTAATATCTTTTTATTCTTCTCTTGAATTTCTTAAATGAAATTATATTTTATTTATTCAATGTTATTGATGTAATTCATGTTAAAACAGCATTTTATTGGTCTTTATGCTAAAGAAAAGTTTGAAAACAATTTATGCAAATACAAAATTCATAACAAACAAACGCATAAATTATTATTGATGTATAATACATAATTAAAAACATGTATTTAATATTTATATTAATTCCAATATGTTAATCGAGATGTTTATAGTTTCCTACTTATATATCCTTTTATTATACAGTTCAACCTTGCTATCCATGATCTACCAGAAGTTTTGGCCGAAGCTAAAAGAGTATTATGTGGAGAAATAGTAAATTCAACCATACCTCTTTGCATTGAAATCTCATTAAGAACTGTTGAAGGTGATACAATGGTTTTAGAAACATGGAGTTTGGGTGTATTGCCAGAGCATAGTGATCCTACTGTAAGAGTAACATATACAGTATATAATAGAATGGGTATTTTACTCAAATCGTTATTATCTGTATCAAGAATTACTCCAGCTTATAAATTAAGTAGGAGGCAAGGTCCGGATTCCTATGTTATTTGTTATAGGATTTATATGGGAGAACCCCAGCTACATACACTAGGTACAGAATACATCAATTTTATGTTAAAATCTAATTTTATCTTTTTAAATAAATTCAATATTTATAAGTTTACTTATAATATTGATAATATTTTAAACATATTGCAATTTTTTGCAGGTGATAATTACAAACATGTTAGGGTAGGTCAGTTGTGTACACCAGTGGGGACAATTCATTTATCAGTATCATATAGGACAAAAATGACTATATCTCCTACTCATACTGGTCGTGATTCAATAATGTTAAAAAGTGATCATTTCCATTCTGACTTGAGTCCTCGTCATGCTAGGTATCAACAAAGGTAAGTGAAGTGAATTGTTTTGTGAAGTGAAATGAGTTTCTATTGGATTAATTGAAACTTTCTTTACTCATATTTTAGCGAAGAGACGTCGAAATCGCTTAGTGATACTATCAAGGTTGGAGCATTTGTAGTCAATAAGCCTGTCACTGTTAACGAAGATGATTTTGTTATACCAGATGTACCTTTTAGCTCTTTGCTAACTCCTAGACAAACCTCACCTCCTCCAGTCTCAGTGGCTGAGACCACAAGTACAAAGACTGCAACAACAATCATTGCTACGGATAGCAGCAATGGAAACAATGAAAGACTTACAAATGATAACACAACGTCAAAGTGTAACTCTCAAAATGGATCGAGAAGGAGTAGTTGTTCAATGACCAGTGCCAACGATGATTTTATTATGGTAGATTTGGTAATTAACGTTCCTATATTTTTAAGATACTAGAAATGTTTGACTAAACTCTTTAAATGTTGCAATTACAGAAGACTCCCTTCGCAATAACAAACACCAATAGCGATTTAGGAGCATTTTATCGTGAGTGTCAAAGTGCACCCCAGCTTCAAGCTTTTATGGAGGAAAGAACACTTGCAGAACAAGTAGGAGATCTCACGAAACAGTTGGAAACATTTGAAACAAATATGCGGCGGTATGAGGATATTCTGTCGTCATTATGTCAAACAGAAAATAATAACTAATATCGAAATCAATGCAATGTTAGGTGCTTCAACGAGAAATGTTAATATATACAACCAGCATATAGTGTCTCGTCATAGATTTATGCGATTCTCATTACACGTATCACAATATTTTAGCAAGAGCATTTCAATAAAATTTTTAGCCAAATGCTATCACTGCTTGTGATCACTTATGAAAAAAATTGGATTTAATACAAGATTTATCTATAACGTATAAAAATAAAAATAGTTCATCTGTATTGCCAATGTATGTAATTTGGTATGTGTGATTTATTGATGTACAATTTTTTTCTACAATTTCTTTTTTTTTATTAGTTCCTTTTATCACTCCACCAATAATCAAAACATTTTTATTCAAAATTATTTTAATTTACTTTTATCGCATAAACTATATTCTCATATTTATTGTAAATTAAGTGTATTTTATCTGTTGAGCGACTTATTAATAATGCGAATTGATAAGCAGCGTAAATGATAATTAGTTAATATATTTTGAAACTTTAATTTATTGCTTGTACATAGTGTAAATTGTATTTTAGTGTTATGATATTGATTGATGATTAAGAAAGGATTATATAACTTTTTCATGTTTTATTATTCCAATCACTTAATAAATCAGGCTGTGCTTGCAATTTGAGTAAAACTTTTATGTTTAAGATGCTATATGCAACCCTCAATTATGATCATTTAATTAACCAATCTTAATTACAAGATACCATCTTTAGTGTAATAGAAGCTTTAAAAAAAATTGAAAGCCTGAAATTACATATTTTTATGTAAATACTTTTTAATATTTTAATGCTGGGAAGTTGTTTTTGTCTGTTCTATTTCATAACAATGTATGATATTATTTCTGCTTTTGAACTGTTCATTTCTGTCAAGTTCAAATTGACATTTCTTAACTATTTAATTCATTTTTTCAAGTTATAGTGATCCATTGTACAATAGACTTTGAACTTGAATTATATCGTTTCAATGTTTATTTTTACTTTTCTTCAAATGTGTATGAATATTAATTTCCATAATGCTAAGTTAAATATTGGTTAAGGAAACAATTTTCGTTACATTGTGATATTACAATGTAAATCGATTTGTAGGTATGCATGTTCCAATTGTAAAAGCGGTAGATGAGTATTAAGAATAAGTAGTGAGTAGTGTGTATCACATTTTGGAGCGTGACAAAGAAATGAAACATGGCGGACTCTGCGGGCAATTGGTGTCTTATTGAAAGCGATCCTGGAGTTTTTACGGAATTAATAAAAGAGTTTGGTAAAGTTTGATTGGTTTTATTTAGATTTGCTTCTAATTACTTTAATTTTGTCGAAAATAATTTATATATGATTATCCTAGGAGGTATCTGTGTCTGTTGACGATTGCTTTGAACACTTGCATTTTGGATTGTTATTTCTTGTAAGATTATACATTTCCAAGGCATTTAATATAATTTCTCTTTATTAAAGGTGTTCAAGGTGCCCAAGTGGAAGAATTATGGAGTTTGGATGATGAGCAATTTGATAATTTGAAGTGAGTATTTTGTTCATATAACATAACCTATTTAATATTGATTTATTTTTGTTTCGTAGTGTAAACGAATATGTCAAATTATAATGTAATCTAATATCCTTTCGTATTGATAATAAATAATAACAATATAGTAAAAACTTAATTTTAAATCTAAAATTATAAGCATATAACCACATGCATGTAAACTTTTGAAGGAAATAAATGAATTTAAATTAATTAATCTCCTATTTTTTATGATACGTTAATAATAATTTTGTTATTTACTAGGCCTATACATGGCTTGATATTTTTGTTCAAATGGGTGCAAGATGACGAACCCTCTGGAAGTATTGTTTTAGATAATAGGTTGGATAAAATTTTTTTTGCAAAACAGGTATTTTTTATAATTATTATTAAATATTACTCAATAGTAAATTAGAGGATAAAAATATTGAAAATTTTAGGTAATTAATAATGCTTGTGCAACGCAAGCAATCTTAAGTGTATTACTGAATTGCAAACATTCCGATGTATCATTAGGACCAAATTTGGAAGAATTTAAAAATTTTTGTCAGAGTTTTGACGCTAACATGAGGGGTCTGGCTCTTAGTAATTCTGACGTGATAAGAGAAGTACATAATTCTTTCTCAAGGTATTTTTCATATAACAATGTGTGTGTGTGTGTGTGTGTGTGTGTTTTGCATATCTTAATGTTAAAAATATATATATGATATGTATATATATGTGATATAAAATAAACATTGTTTATTGTAGACAAACAATATTTGAATATGATTCAAAACAAGCATCCAAAGATGATGATGTATTTCATTTTGTGAGCTATGTTCCTATTGACGGACGGTTATATGAGTTAGATGGATTGAAAGATGGACCTATGGATTTAGGTCCTTGTCCACTTGGCGATCAATGGGTTCAATCAGCTAAACCAATAATACAGAAACGAATAAATAAGTAAATATCACCTGGTTAATGTATTCATTTGTTTCATGTAGTAATTGTACAATTTATGTTTGCAGATATAACGAAGGAGAAATACATTTTAATTTAATGGCAATAGTAACAGATAGAAAAGTAGTTTATGAACGACAAATAGCAAATGTCTGTGATCCAGCAGAATTGGAACGTTTACAAACATTGATTGAGAAAGAAATTCGAAAATCTAAAAGATATCAGATTGAGAATATTAGAAGGAAGCATAATTATTTGCCATTGATAATGGAGCTTCTTAAAATGCTTGCTAAAGAGGGCAAGTTAGTGCCTCTATATCAAAGGGCAAAGGAGAAGGCATTGGAAAAGGAATCAAAGAAGAATAAAGTTTAAATCTTGATTTTCTGAACTGTATAAGAAAAATATTGGAATGTATGTATACTGCATAAATATTATTGAATAAATTATAGCAATGTGTTTTTAAAAATAGATGTAAATATATTATTTTTCGAATTTTTCTAAACTAAAAAGGTTAGCAGAAACTTATATGTATGACGATGTAATTCAAATATGAATTATATGAGAAGATATTGAAGATGCTTAATTTATCTTTTCCTATTTTGTTATATACTGATATCTTCGTTTAAGTCTTCATCTATAATTTTAACTTTTCCATTATAAAAGAGTCTAGGAAGAAATTTATCAGTTAATTCATTTTTTATATCTTGTATCTTTTCATTATATAAATACTCCACGATGTCTAAAAAATACGAAGTGAAAATTATTATTATCATAAAACAAAGCATTTAATATTCATAATTTTATTAATTTCAAAACTTACCAGTAAAGTTTTTTGTATTTATTTTTAGAGCAGCTTCTTGCACAAGATAAAAAAATATTTTACACAAAAAGATATTAGTAACTCCATCAAAATATTTCGCTACATTTGACCAGACTATTTCTCGACTATTCGAAATCCCTTTTCCATAAATGCTGCAATATAATTTTCAGTATACATATAGCAGATTTACTATATTTTATATTAAAAAATAATTACTTATGTTAGGAGATATAACGAAGTTTCTGTATTATGAAGGGTTATTAACTTACTATTCAATTAATTTTATTTTTATATCATTTAAATAAATAGGTTCTGGACAAAATAATTGCATGTGCAATTGAAATATCCAGAATTTCTTCAATGTATTATGTTGTATACCTAGCTTTTCTTCTAATTTGCGCCAAACCGGTTTTGGGATAATAGCATCTTTTAAATCCTCCACCGTCTCGCATAATGTTATGCTCATGAGAGTTTTTATAAATTTACCAATTAAAGATAATGTCCATTTGATTTCAGACGATGCTACAATAAAGCGCGATTGAATTAGTTTTATCGTTAGTTTTATTACTATAATTATTATTATATATATGTCGGGTTTACATTAGAATTAGGATTAGGGGCGTGAAACGAATCTTCATTTGGATTACACATTGTCGTTATGCAATAGAGAAGACACTGACTAGCGCAAATACGATTATTACAGGACTTGACAAGTAACCGTGGTACTTAGATAGTCGGGAAGCTAATGGCAATGGTCCTAGCTACCAATGGATTCAATAACGAATCCGCGGTTAACTGGATAACAGGATGCGCTTTCTTCCAAAGCCCAAATCGTACTCGACTTGCTTGGCTACTAAACTAACTAAACTAACTAACTAAACTAACTCTTTGTTAAAACGTGGAACAGCCACCGAGCATAAAGACGCTAAGTAACTCGCTAATACGACTTCACGAGAGAAATGACTTTTCGTCGCGATGATGCTGCAGAGGAAAACTATGATGGGGTGTGTCTAAGGACACGAGATCATCGGATTCGTCGAGGATAGCCTTCGTTCAGAAAGTGAGGGAAATTGACGTTGCTGTTAATTGGTCAATTTCCATGTCGGTGGCTAGAAAAAGATGTTAGCCGCCCTCGAGGGAAAGCTGCACGTGTACTGTGGAAACGCATCGACATCTGGCAATCATCTTACTTGAAGAATAGGGTCTGCAAGTGGCTAGCTACGGGATAGAGACCGTTGGAATGTTTACTGTCGAGTGTTACAACTATTTCCTTTTTAAGGAGAGCTATAGAATTACTCCATGCCTCTGCCAGACAAAGCATTCATCCCGTGACCGCGGTTATGTTCGGCGACTGGTTGTCGCCTCGAGCCCAAGCTCATTATCACAAATCTCGAACAAATACAATTGGATCGAATGACGACAATTGTTTCATTACGCCTATGATAGAATTGATAGAATCTAGATTACGGTATTGAGGGATTTTCCCGAAGTTCCAAAGGGAAGGCTCCGATGTCCTTTCATCTCCGACATATATTATAAAAATTGCAATATTTAGAAAGAAACTTACGGTCTTCATCTTGCTGCATCTTTTTAAGCAGTTGATAACGTGACCAAATTGAATGTCTTGAACGCCCCAACATTTTACTTAATTCTGAAAATCTGTGTACTTTTTCCTCATTTTGTTTATTCTTCATGTAAGATAAAATTTTCTTATCTTCAACTGATGTATATCTATAAGATACATTAGTAATTAATATTACACGAATGCATTGAGCTTTTGATATGGATGGTACCTTTGAAAAATTTTCTCATGATTTCCATATAAGTGTTTGAATCTATGAAAAACACTATACAGTGTTCTCCATGGTAAATTATTTGCTAAAAATTGAGTAAATTTTTGTCTCTCTTCCATGCTTTTTATATAAAATCTATTAGCACGTTTCATATGAATGAAGGGTTTCACACATTTAGGATTCCAGTCATGAGCCTGCACATGAAAGATTATCAATAAAAGAGAAATATATAACATTAATTAGACATACTTTACAAAATGCTTTCCAATTATCCTTGATAATTTTATCTTCGCTAGGTGTAAATATGCCACTTTTTAGTGGTCCATGTTTTAAGAACAGCTCTTTCTCTCTTTTCGTTAATGTTTTTGAGCCTGCAGTATGTTCAATTTTATGCTGTATCGGTACTTTATGCATTAATTTTACTTTTAGCTTATATAATTTCTAAAAGAATAATAAGTTAATATAAAATAATTAATATATGTGAAGTACGACTGATGCAGATATTTACCTTTATTGCATCTTCAGATAATTCATTTTTCTCTTCTTTTTCTTCTACTTCTTCTTCTTCTTCTTCTTCTTCTTCTTCTTCTTCTTCTTCTTCTTCTTCTTCTTCTTCTTCTTCTTCTTCTTCTTCTTCTTCTTCTTCTTCTTCTTCTTCTTCTTCTTCTTCTTCTTCTTCTTCTTCTCTTCTTCTTCTTCTTCCTTCTCCTTCTTCTTCTTCTTCTTCTCTTTCTTTCTTTTCCTCTTCTTCTTCTTCTTCTTCTTCTCTTTCTTCCTTTTCTTCTTCTCCTTCTTCTTCTTCTTCTTCTCTTTCTTTCTTTTCCTCTTCTTCTTCTTCTTCTTCTTCTCTTTCTTCCTTTTCTTCTTCTTCTTCTTCTTCTTCATCTTCTAATGGCATTTCAATATCTAGTTCTCCTAAAATATATTTTAAGTCGTCATAATCGTTGTCGGTATCTTCTTTATTACATTTATGTTTTCCTGTCGTTCTAATCTTATTTTCTACACTTGTTTCTTGGTTTTTTATATTTTTATGAGGTGTACTAGTTTCTTCATCGTCAGTGATATAAAGGGGATCAACTTCTGGATCTCTGGATGTTTCTACAGTCTGATCGTCTTGCATGGTCTCATTAATCGTTGAACAAAAAATGTCCGTATCTATTTTACTTTCTTCAAAATCCATCACAGAATTGAGATCATGCAACATATCAATAGCTTCCAGATCATTTAATTCATTATCACATGATTCTAATTTGACTGCACCAGACAATTGATCATAATCATTGTCGCTACAAAGTTCCCTTTTTATTTTTCTTTCAGGTGTATGTTCATTACAGAGATATTGCCTCTTTCTTTTATGTTTCGATGGTGTTTCTGTTTGTGAATGCCATTTCATTAAATTTATACCTAAACTATTAGGAGTGAAATTTTTTAGGCTATTTACATTTTCTATTTGAATGTTCTCTATGCTTCCTAAACCTCCCGATGTATTACTTTTTTGGGGGGTCCTACATAAATCTTCTATTTTTCTTACACTAATTATCGATTGTTGACTTTTATTTGTTATTTCATCATCGCTGCAACCTTTTTTTAAATCTAAATCTGCATGACTAGTTTCAGAACTTACATTTCCATTGTTAACCAATGATTTTTTATTAACTCCCTTATTAGGAGCTCCATTTTGTGTTAATATTTTTTTCTTTTGTAATTCCATCTGTTATTTCATAAGATTTACTACCATGTAATAATTCATTATCTAATATATATTATTCATTTGTATTTATCCTTTTTTCAAACACTTTGTTATTTTCATATCTGAAAAATGTTCATAGTCATTTATGAAAACTACTGTTTGTTTTAATTATTAAAACTAAAATAATTATTCTACAATATTACTAAAAAAAATCATTTTTGTTTTTATTCAATTAATGTCTTAATATATATATATATTATATTACGTTTTAGACGTTTTCTAAAAGAGTGTCATTGCAATGTCAGAATAAATTATAAGTAATATACAATCATAAAATTATTTATTTTATAATTACAATTCTAGTATTTTAAATATTTTGTTGTTTCCGCAGCACATGTAACATATACTACATATAACTACCATAAATCTATAAACAAACTAACCTCTTCAAAGTGTCTGTTATACTATATAGACATAGATTGTAACACGTGGAAATAATCGCAATCACGATCTAACTAAACTAAACTAAATATCTCTAGGAAATTTACTAGGGAAAAGCGTCCGAAACTTTAGTTGTGAAAAATCAACATGAAAGGCAACGAAATTCTCGTTCTTGCCAGATAGATGGAGACGAGTAGAGTGCATCTGTCTCTATCTGAGATGTTCATAGCACACTGGGCCAGTTAACAGTTGACCAGTTACACTGGCTCGCTCTTACTCGATGAAAATAAGACTGCGCTTGTCGAGTGAATACAATTAATTACTAACGCGGCCCCAAAATACCACGTTCCTCGGAAACGGCTTCAATCATTTCATTCCTATATTTCTATGCCCAATGGCGCAGAATGAGAACGTTTTTGTTTTCCATGTTGATATTTCACGATGGCTTATTTGATTTTCAATTTTCCGCCAATTATCTTCTATGCTTTAGGTATATGAGCGTCGAGATCTGTTTGTACGATCGTGTTCGTACGTACTTACTTGCGCATAGGTTTTCAAAAGCTAACAGTTAGGTGCTAACCCCTAACCTAACTACAGACGAAGAATAGATAATATACGAATACATTTTCACTTAATGAATTTTTAAATCATTTTTTCAGTAAGAAAGTTATTTATTCACAAAAATATTTCTAAACAACACGAATGATCTGCAGTGTCTATTAATAATTAGTGTTACAAGAATGAATTATAGGATATCTTATTCTATGGTTAAACAATAGCTCTAACTATCTAATGGAGAGTGCTTTTCAGTAACGCTTTTCCATTTCATTCGCACTGTAGAATGATTTTGATGAAATTTTCGACCCATCTGGTACGAGGTATTAAAAGTAAACGTGTTGGAGTTTTAATTTTGTCAAGCTTGTACAAGCCATGCATTTTCATACAGTCCGGAGCAATGTGACAGTCTACTTAACATTTTTATTTACTTATAATCAACTATCAACTAGTAATTTCGGTAGAAATAAATTTGTTTTGGACCTAATAACAAATGTGCGCATATAAGGCATGTAGCACGTAATAAAACAAAACGAAGGAATTTATAACGTGGACAGTTTTTATTTACAATACTATCGTATATGTAAATATTGTTTGTGTACATCAATTATATTATATTACTGCTTATACTTTGTTCTTATACTGTTATTTTATTATTGTTATTTTCAAACACTTAATTCACATTTAGATACTCGACGTTTCTTATACAATGGCGACAGATGTAGCGTGATCTTAATTACTATGTACTTAAGACTAAGGACTAGATCTGACGATAAACTTTAAGTATGAATTTTAGTGATTACCGTTGATCATTGACGTATGGACGCAAAGAATATAAAAATGTTGAACTCTCTAACAGAAGAATACGACCGAATTTGTCGTAATTGATCGTTTCGTTAACTCTGATTAGATATTAGTATTTCAATTATTTTTCGGTATAAACGGTGTTCGTGTTTCTCGTGGTTCTTGTTTGCCGTTACCTTCACAGCTGGTTGGCGTAAGTCTGCGTTGCACGGTAGACAATTCTCTGAAAATTGCAAAATATTGTCAAATACATTCTCTATCCCTGGATGAATATATGAACAGCTTGTAGAACTATTTTATTCAGGTACCGATGATAATAATTGGAAGAACGAGAATTGTTATTTTTTATAATGTTAATAACCTGTGAATGGAACGTTTTCTTCGCGGCCACAGATGAAACGCGCCATATATCAAAGGATTTACCAAACTGTTGGTCATGCCGAAAAAGAAGATTACGTTTTGTAATTCCTTACTGAGCTGAAAATATCAAAGCTTTTTATAATCACTACGATTCAAATATTTACAACGTCTTAAAATATAAAAGTAATTGATTTTTAGTAAATTATATTAACACATCGACCGTTGGGCCGAAGTTGCGTGGTCTTTCATCGTTACTGAAACTTTTTCTCTTAAAATTCGTCGATCTTGCCGACATCATTTGAAAACAATTTGAGCGTGACGACAACGTGGCGTCATGCATCCCCGGCAGCAACCAGGCCACGACGTCAACGCGACGCCATCAGCAGTCAATCTGTTAATCGGATCGACTTCTCGCGAAGATCGTCGAGTAAATCTGATTAATTTAAACTATTTACGTGTTTGTCAGGATCGAGGAACATAAAAATGATCATCATTGTGTAATACGGTGTCCACCAGATGATGAAAGCAGTTATAATAACGATGCTGATTCTCAATGATTTGGCCTTTGCTCGATGCATTAATTTTCTTCGGTTTGTATTCCCATTTACGTGACGTATAATGTTATTAGTTAGCTTCAATTTAAATATCCTTTCGCTTCCTAAAATTATTTTGCTCGTAGCTCAGATCGAACGTACAGTTCGTACGTAATGAGAGTGGAATACGTACGAGAGATTGTGATTACGGTGGAAACGTAGGTAGCAACGAGTATAGCGAGAGGAAGAAGGAACATGAAAAACAAAACGAAGGATCCGTAAAGTTGTTCCTGCCAAGGTTCCGTGTAAAATCCGTAGGTCACGCATTGTTTGAAATCTTCGATGAACGGTCCTTGAACTACATGGAATATGAAAATCTGGAAATAGTAAACATTATTAAATCCAAATCTAGCGTATATAAATATATGCAAGCGTGAATGTTTGATTTCGTTTCGGAATTTATTCTGTTACAGATCGCTAAACTCGTGCATTTTGCAATTTCCATAAGCTGATCGATTAACATCGCGAGGTTATTATTAATATAACTAAACCCTTCGTTTATTAATTTATTTATTCGCGCATGGGCTTGTACCCTCAAATTTAGTATGAGAAATTAAATATTTCTACAAAGAACGCGTAACCTATAGTAAAGAACGCGATCTATAGTAAAAAGTCGGTGCAAATTAGACGTTGACATTCAAGACGAAGTTTATTTGCCTGCACCGATAACAAGTGCAATCTAAATATTTTTGTCCAAGAGAACGGTGGGGTTATGCGACCGATACAAGAACAATACGATGGAACGAAGAAAAGATTCGACTTTGAACTTTATCGTCAAGATCAATTTTGCACGATTGTTTTTCAAAAAATCTCCACCTATCCAAAGGTGTAGAATCACACTATGGTGGCCTTTACACCTACTTTCAGTTATATTGTGTACATAGGCACATATGTACGTACAAACGTACGAAGCGCGAGAAGGACATTCGTCATCGATGCTGTGCGATTAATCGTGAAAATTTATAATCGTAAGTCGCACGTGTAAGCACTTTTTACCACCAACTTTTTACGATTCTCCCAAACCATACGTTTCAGCTGTTTTTTGCGTGCTAGGACGACCTCGATGGAAAAATTATTCATCGCCATTTTGACAAACGAAGCTATTTCGATCGTGCTCGAAACAGCATCGTTTATTTGTAAACGCCGACGCTCGTTCGTCGATCGTTCAATAGCAATGTGACGGAAGAAAATTTCGGCTCGTTGTATCATCTTAAAATTTCTTGTATTTAATTAATTTCTGTGGAAATTGGAATGAACGAATCATGGATTAAACGTTGCGATCCGAATGGAAGCGAGCTTACAAAGACTAAGTGGTGTCTAGGTCGTCTGAACGCCAATTAATCGCTGCTGCCAATTAAGGTACTCCGCTTTTACTGTTTATGCTTTCGTACAATTTTTCTTCGTGGTCAAGTACGAAGAAATAACTTCTCGAAATTTCTAGATCGAACTTTTCGCGCAACGTTGTCAATTTTACGTTTATTCCACGTGAAATTGATTCTATAAATTACACGCGTTACGCATGCAGGAACAAAAATACAACGTTTAAAGTGTACTTTGAAGTTACTTCTGTCTTAACCAGCTGTACAACTCATACTTTTTGCCTGTTTTGTTCGAGCGAGTAGGTCTTACGAATAAGTCGATCAACGTCTAAAAAAATATTGAAGAGACGCAGAAAAACGTGGCGTACTAATTTTCAAGCACGATATAATTCGATCTTTCCTCGAACAAAAAGATTCGCGTACGATTAAACATTTTTAAGATTGATCGGTTCTCTTGCAGTTGGAGAACGAATATAATCATGGTGAGCGATTCGGCAAAAATTCTTGCCCTGGTGGTCACGGCGATAAAAAATCTTCGCGAATTGAAAGGCTCGACTTCTCGAGAAATTTTACATTATCTCTCGTCCGTCTACGATATTTCACCAAACGTGGCACGTCGTCAGGTTAGCAACCGTTCCCATCGCGCGTATTCGCGTATCGTTCGAACGACTCCCTTCGATTCTCGACGATAATTTCACGCAAACAGATGCAGACCGCGTTAAAGCGCGGCGTCGCCTACGGTATCCTAAAGAAGAACGGGGGCTGTTACATTCTACCGACGAACAGCGAGATAAATTGCCAAGAAATTGCCGAACAGGAGGTCAATCTACTGGATGTCTGTCGCAGAAACAGAATGCAGAAAAAATTGGGCTGCAAGTGCAAGAAGAGACGGCGTAGACGTAGAAGGAGAAAAAGAAAGTTGTGTAGATGTAGGCGGAGACGAAGAAGGAGAGTAAGAAGACGAAGCAGAGTTTGCGGAAGGAGGAGAAGGAGAAGGAAGAGGAAGTGTCGGTGCGGTGGTCTAGGAAGAAATCTCAGGAGAGGTGATCCAGATAGGACGAAACGGGCCGGAATGCCCCGTGCAGCCGAAAACTTTCCAAGTGGGAGACTTTTCGAACCGTCGGAGGCTTACGATTCCGCGGCCAGCGAGAAAACCTCTTTGTCCAGCATCGCCTCGGCAACGGACTAGAAACGTTCATCGGTAGGTATATCGCGGGTCGCTTTAATTTTTGCAAGATTTTTGTGTCGGAAGGTAGGATACGTTGGATACCAGGCTAGATGGAATTACTTATCTACGCGTTATTCGAGATTCGTAGGTCGTAACCGGGCCGTAGTCGGAAAAGGCTTAGTTTTGCCTTCGAAGCTCGAAGCGTCTCGAAGTACACGAGCTACTTCTTTTCGTTTTAGGTGTAAGACGAGCAGCAGTAGAGACAGCATGTACCGCGACAAAGCAAAGCTTAAGACGGTAATTTATACGAGGAGCTTTCCTTTACGGGGGTGTGTTCTTATGTTTCCTAACAAATTGATAAAATGGTAAACAGCTGGGAGAAAATGGAGGATGGTCGAATGGATGGTTTACAAATGGTAGATGGAAGATGGAAAATTGAAACAAGTAGAAAGGTATTAACGATTGGCGGAGTATTTGCTGTATTTGCCGAGACAATATTTATAAAAGAGCGAAGAATAGATAAAGTGGGAAGCAGAATTTAATTCAAAGATAAAGAGATATCTCACGGTATCGTATTAGGCGTATAAAAGCGTCTATTTATACGTTTTAATATATCGATATGTTTTGCAGTACCGGAAGAAAAAGTAGTAAACTCGTGTAGTGGAAGAACAAGATTAAATTATCATCGTATAGGCCAGGGCAGAAGATCGAAAATATACGAGATCTTTCCAAGATGCGTCATTTTTAGAGGCGTTTATATATTTGCGTGCATTCGGTTTTTCTATTACCATTTTTATTTTAGAGTGTTCGTTTTTGCGTAGATGTTATATTATAGGACATGGCTTTAATATTTTGTCGTGCCTCATTTACTTTGTAACTTTGAGAGGAAAAATATACAAATTATACGGTTAAAGTTGTTTCTACTAATACCACTAGCGAATATCGGTAATCGTCTCCTCGAATATTTCAGTGCTAATTGAAAATTTTCCTTCCATAGGGTTTTTTTAAACGCAAGATAACTCGTTGACTTTTATACGATTTAGCATGTATCGTTATTTATATTTAACGTTTCTCAATCCTGCTGAAATACGTCATTCGTATATTTGGTCTTCGATTTACAAACACATTGGTATATCTCGATTTACGTATTCGAAGGAATAACCGAAACGGTAATGGAATTTTATCGAAATTGATTCGAGACTGATCTAATCTCACTTTTAATACCTGTCCCACACCATCGTTATACGTATATAGGTAACACTCGCAATTAACAACGAGTCTCGATCTAAGAACCGTATCAAACTCGTCGAACTTAAATTCCAAGTGGCCAGGATTTTTAATTAAATTCAGCGTTCGGAATATCGATTCGAACTTTTAAATCAATTTCTCCGACGTTTAAAACAATTTCTTGTCTGGCTTCTTCTTTTAATTAGTATAAACGTTCATTTTTCATGGCACAACGTAACATCGTTACGCTTCGGTTTTACTTTATCGCGAATTTACATATAAATTTGAATTTTTTCCCCTGTCCAGACATCCGCAACTGTTTTACACGCCTCCATTCAGAATTTCGGCTTTATCGCGAAAGCGGCGCGTGATGTTCTGTGGTTGCTTCGGTTTCCAATTTCGATGCGATGTTTTCCAGCATTATACAATTTCTCTGTTCGCGCCCGTGACGAGTGCTTTATTCTCGGCTAAATGAAAAGCGCGACGCTACGACACTCCGCGACGATAAATTGCACCGTATGCAGCTACGATAGAAAAAGTAATCGTCGATCAACTGGAATTGGCAAGGGACGCGTTAATCGACGCGCGTAGACCAACGAGGAAAGATCGTCGAACCGAAGATTCAAGAGATTACGGAACTCTGAGAATACGTAAGGGTTATGTAATTCTTTGTTGCTGGCCAAATTCATCGTTCAGCCTCAAATTCACGGGTGAGATCGACCCCTGATAACCTGGCTACTTTTCGATTTTGCGTCGCGTCGTACTCGAATCTCTCGTACATCGACGACCGAATCTTCCGTTTATCGGATTGATTTTTTTATCGAGATCTAATACAATGGAATACAAGTAGCAGAGTAACTAGTTTCGTAAGGATTTAATTTTCGCCGAGTTTTAAAGTTAAAAGAGAAAGCAAGTTAAATCGAAAGTAATAATTACAAAGGTATGGTTATAATATATAATAACTGTTATCGAGCGATTGCTTTCGTTACGATTTACGTAGCACGGAACCAATTCTTCCATTATGTTTTACATATTACGTACGTATTCAGATGTTGCACGTAATTGATTTATACTCGATATTAACTTCGTAAAGTGTTTTGCATTTAACGAAGTTGTTATACGCATTAAACGAATTTATCTTTACGCGGGTATTAGCAGATGTTAGCGAAACGATACCCGTTCGATAAACGTCGAATCAATTCACGCTCATAAATGTATATCGAACTTAATATTTTTCTAATTAGCAGTCATTAGTAATTATAGCTGACACAACACGATGTTCCCTTTACTAAATCACTAAATAACGTGATAAATCTTAACGATGAATTTTAATGAACATAGAGAGCTACATCTACGTCCGTTTAGATGTAAATAAACGAGTTTCTTACTTCATTGGAATTCGTAGACTAGAATGTCGTAGGTTACGTAAAAAGAAGAACCAGAAAAGCAGCTTGACGCGGATGATCGTCGTACGACAAGATCGAATCGCTTCCGACTAAAGACGAATAAATCGCGAATCCACGCTTTTTAAATCTTAATTGCCGCGAACCTCGGAGAACAAATTTTTATAAGGAAATAAAGGGAATGCGCGTTCGAACCAACCAGACGAATAAGTACGAAATATCGATCAAGACGATAGACTCGAGCTTGAAAAACGAGGTCGTCGATTTTTTCTGAATTTTTGCCGCCCGTCGTATCGAATTTCTTTTACGACGAACGATGGCACGTCCGTTCGAGGTACACACGTTTACTTGAATTCGAACGATTTGGACCGGGGCAAGGTTTCGCTAATGCAAATTCATCCCTTTCGCTAATCCGAACAAGGCTTCGTAGCGACTCTTACCTGAGGCGATGCGAATATAAAGGACAGTATCCACGCCAGAACGACAAACTTGAGACACCTGTCAGCGGTATTCATGCCTTTCATCGGGTATCGTATAGCAAAGAACCTGTCCACTCCGATCAGCACCAGTATAAAGGTGCTTAGATACAAGCTGAACACTTGTGCGAATTTGAACAACTTGCAGGCGACGTTGCCGAAGATCCAAGCCACGGTGTAGCTCCACATCGCGTCCCCTACCATGCAGAACACCGTGACCAACAGATCGGCCACTGTTAAATGCAGGATCAACGTGTAAATTGCCGACCAAGCGTGTTGCTTTCGTCGATTTATCGCGATAGAGTAGATAGTCGCGACGTTCGCCACGAAGCTGAGGATCGCGATCACCGAGAGCACGATCACTTTCACCACGACCACTCTGGTCAGCTGTGGAGCGTGATTCAGGCAAGTCACGTTGTTCAGCACGCCGGTGGAAATTAGTTGGACGAATTCGCTTATGTTGTGCAATGGCCGAGCGTCAGGGGTGTGGTTGACGCCACGAGACTGATCGGTGAAGTCGGCCAGGTTGTCACAGGCTGACAATATGTACGTGATATAGTCGATTGGTAATCGTACAGAGTTTTCCATTGTTCTTGCTATTGCGTTACTTTCGTCTCGTCGAGCATCGTACCTGTGAATCGTGGTTTTCGCAATTGGTAGCGGTGACCATGCTTTGTGAAGTACGCGCCTATAATACCATATACGTATACGTAATATATCGCGAAGCAAAATATAATTTTGCGCAAAGGTTCGAACAAACCTACAAATTTCTATGCGTCGTGCAAAGCATTTTCACGTTTCCTCCGTGTATTGGTCAAATTTGAAACCAATTCGAAATTGCATATCTGGATGATCTATCGCCAGAATATCAACGTCCAGATAATTTAATGTCTCGCGATAATCCGAATCGGAAATTCGGATAATTAGTACCGAATAATCGACGTTCTAGCATTACGGGATAACGAATATTCGTCGTCGAATCGAATCTCGCAATTCTTGAAACTTGGAAACTGACCACGGAATCGATCGTGCAATCAAACTCTACATATTTTATGCGTATGCGCGTGGCTGTAACTACTCTTCGAGTTACGAATTAAGTCATTTTGAAGATTTAGGCGCAACGTCTCCTTTCTCTTTTTGACGCCTAGGTACAAATTCCTTTATATCGAGATTACAAGGACAGTAGGCGAAAGACAGAAAGCGTCGTATCGCAAATTTCAGGCAATATACTCGCGCGGCATTCGCACGAAGAACAAAATATCTTATAATTTAAACCGTACGTTATATGCGCGCGTATCTCTCGAGACACCACAGTTTAAAATTTAAAACACGATACGTTATAACTTTACATTCGCGAAAGATAATTCGGAATTTTATTTCGCTTTACATTCACGAAGCTCGTAAATACTTTCTTCTCCCTTTTTCGACTCTTTTTTATTATTAAAATTAAATTTATTATTTATTATTAAAATTTATTATTAAATTTTAGTATTAAAATTAAACTAACGAGATTCTGCCGGCTATAGTTGTAAAGTCTCGTCGAGCCACCACCGTCTCTTTGCCGGACTCTCGCATTTGTTCAACGCGCTATCCGACTCTTCTGTTCACCCGTTTTCATTCTATTCGCACCACGTCCATTCGTCTTTTATTCCTCGACTTTCAGATTTACGAATAAACGTTCCTTTCTTTATCTCCGTCTTTATCTTCTTCTTTTCTCGATTATCGCGTGCTTATGAAAGAACGTTGCGATCGAGACGTGGATTTTCCGAGCGCAATCGAACCGAAACTGTCGAGCGCGTCACGACTCGGCAGTACAAAGATGCTTATCTCTTTCATCTTTCGTAAAAACGAATTACGATCGCGAGCAAATCAAACGTATACGTCGGATAAATAAATGTTTCGTTTGAAAGAAATTCGATCGTCAAGAGACTAGTGGTGGAAAAAATATCTGTCGTACGAAAGAAATAAGAGGAAAAAAGAGATTTTAGCAAAGCGGACAAAGTCGTAAAGAACTGAAACCGATATACGCTTGCTCGACCAACTCTTGTTACGTACGTACCGCTTAGAATTTTTCACCAGTATTTTTCCTTTCATCGAAGGCGATTCGGTTTTTACAAAGTGAATAATCAACGAAAGCGAAAATGAATAATTAATGGGAATCACGGCGTTGATCAACTTCCTTTTTTTCATTGTTTTTTGCAATCGAGAATCGGCTATAAATAATTTATTATTTGCCGTTCAAACGTCGTTGATGTATTTTTGTTGCGAACGGCGAACGATGGTAAAGTGTTAGTCATTTTTGCGACAAAATAACGAGCGGATAAGTATCGATCGTTTTGTGTAAGAATAATTAAATAGAATCAAGTTAATTAGCCTAAGTGCTTAGAGGAGCGAGATGAACGAACGTAACGAACGTGTCACGTAGCGAATAAATCTATTAACCCCACGACCAAGTATCGCATACGTACGTCTGTACGTACATATCGATGTATGTATTTAAGAATCGAATGTCGATTGATTTATGTCGAGCGTATAATTTTCCAGACCTGCCTGTAATCGTTTAACGAGTTGGAAATATTAAAACAGGTTCTTTATGATTCAAAGGAAACTAACTATTCTGTTATAATTGATGGTTTTTAATTAAGCAATTAAATAATGTACATTGTTAGCGAAGCGAATGCAGATAACGAACGAGTTTTCAACGCAGATATCCGTATTAGTATACATGTGCCGCTGTATAGTTTATATCGTCTAGTCTATGTAGAGTCTACACGTAAAGTTATATTTCTCTATTTTGACGGCGATTTTCATTAAAATCATTCGATATTACGCAAACACCTACTTACCGTCTTACGTTCAACATTTTTCTCCTCTTCCGATACGACAAAGTATATTTTACGATGATACGGTAACGTTTGTTTACAAGTTGTAATTTCGTTCGACCATTCAGATTTTACGTACATATTTTCTCGAATACCTATGCTTCGATCGCGTGTGAAATATTTGTAACAAAAGTAGTAAGACTATTTTTTTTTAATTCATAGGTCGGAGAATAATCTTAATAGGAATTCGTAACGTTATACCGATATGTCGATGTTAATGTTACCATATGGAAATTATTAATCGTTCGGTGAATATTTATGAAGTCCGATCGCATGATTTCACGGTTTACATTCGAGAGAGACCAAAATCGAAGAAATATAATCCCGTTAACTATCTGGCCATGGTACGGCAATTGCTCGCAAAAGCATGCCGTGTCAGCCTAGCAATTAGAAGATTCAAATTGTAGAAACACAATCCGCCCTTGATCGGAATCTATATTCTATCGTGATTCTAATTTTAACGTCAATTTCCTATGTGTCGGTCGTTCGGATTAATTTGTCGCATTACCAATTCTCGTTTCCTTCGATATCGTCGCATAAAATCTACGTTTCTCGCGTGATTTATCGCGGAATAGTTAGTGACAGTTCCTAGAAAAAACTTGTTACCATGGTCAATTTTAATCGTAGCTTTAATTGTTCTTACATCGATAAATTTGTTCGGTAATTTCACTCGTTTAACGAACTCGTTAACTTTGAAACTTTCACGATTCTCCGTTTCGTTAAATTTACTACGTATAGAATCGATGTTTGGCGCGTTTTCGTCAAATACGATTCGATTTCTTGAAATATCTTTCGTTGCACAATTTTTTTAACGTCACGATCTTATCGGAAACACGCGTGTGTCACTTTAACTTCCGTTTCGTTCCACCGAAAATACTCACTCTTCGCTTTAGTCGGAAATTTCAACGATCCTCGATAGACACGAAAACACATCCGCCAGTTGTTCTTCGTTTGTTCGAATTTGCAGATATCGTAATTTATTTCTGAATCACCGAAATAAAATTTGGCTGCACGGAAAACGTTGTCCTCGTTTTTCTCGATATCGACGATTCGTTATCGCGTACACGGACTTATATTCGTTCGACGCCTGTACTCGCTCGAGGATCGATTCGTTCTGTATCTCGTCTTTCGTTGCTCTCGGTTTTTCGTTCGATCGCATAACGCGATCGACGAAGAAAGAGAAGTGGCAACGTTATATTAGCGCCTTACTAATAGCATAATCGCTCGACTAACAAAAACTACATCCTTTCTTCGTCCCCTCTCAGAGAACAATAATAATTTCTTAGAAAATATTATCATTAATCGATGAATTTACGACACTCATCGTACGATGTCTGATTTTTTTGCACAAATTCATCAAACGCTGGTAAACGATGTAACTTTGAAAATTCAACCACGCGTTAAATCTTAATCTCGCGATTATTATTATCGGAATGTTAGTATTATCATCATCATCATCATTATTATTATTATTATTAGTAGTAGTAGTAGTATTATGAAACTGGAACGAGTAATTGAAAATTTGGCAATTCTTTGTTGGAAAATGCGGCCACCAGTTTGCTACGTGGAAATCGACTAGCAGTTGGAAGACAATACCGTTTCGCCAGTGTCCGCCGGTTCTCTCGTTTCTTTCTTCGTTCTTTCGAATCTGCCTGTTTTGTACTCTGTTCATTTTGCGTTCTACAACCATGTAAACGATTTAAATACGAATACGTAAGTAATGCATTATTCAGTTTTATTTTTTCCAAGGAATTCATTATTCTGTTATAAACTTCCATCGGCTTATATTTTTTACGGTGAATCCGTCGTACGGATCGTACTGATTCGTTCAACGCGATTCGCGTTACACAACACGGTAAAAAAGTTACGTACCTGTGTACGAGTGCATGTTTACATTTTTGCGGTGTAACGAGACGAGACGCGACCGTAGGAGACGGTCGGAGCATGCACGAACTAAGTAAATAAAACAAAGATCAGAGGAATCGACGATAACGATGCGTTTATACGGATTTACGGCACGGATTTATAATCGTAACCTCTCTACTTTTCTCTTAAGGCCGCCTTTTCACCGAGTCAACAACAAGGAACTCGTTGTCCTATCTTGTTGCTGCGCGTTCCAAACGCAGTACGCAACGAACGTCGTCTCGTGGAAGCAGCGCGTCTACGTCGAAGCAACGTGATCGGAAGAATATTCGAGCGACGAATATCGTATCGATTTTAAAGCGATATTTGTTCGTAGCAGCAAGCATACCGTTTTTTCTTCGAAACACGGTGCAGCAGGAAAAAGTTGCTCGCCGTTGTCGCTTCGGCGAAAGATTCGATAGGCGCGCGACGCACGACGCTCCATCGCTTCATCACGCGCAATTTATGCCAACTTTGAATGGATTACGAGCGATGCGAGCAGAATTTTTCCAACACTCGCAAAATCTCGCTCTAAATCTAAATAATTCCGCCGCGGTACTTCCACACAGATACTTGTCACGAATTAAGTACATGCGGAAAGTTGGCCAGATTAGCTAGTCACTTACCGGCGAGACCCCTGTAGCGCTTTAAAAGTTGGAAAGAAAAAATGGAGCGTCCCTGTACGCGTCCACCGCTCTTTATCAATTTGCACGAGCAGACTCGATCGATCGAATTCTTGCTTCTGCGACTCTGCCCTTTCCACGTCCTTTGTCCACCTCGCTATGACGGTCGATGTTCCGTTCTTTCTACGCAACTTCTCGCCGCTTCGCACGATCGACGACGGCAACGAAACGAAAGAAGAGAAACGAGAAGGGAAGAAGGCAGACTTAGATCACGAGACCGAGAGACACAGTGGTGTAAATTGTAAAAAATGATAAGGCGGGGAACGGAACGGACGCACACGCTATGCGGGTGATGTTCCATGGCGTGCGAAGGAATGCCTCGGACGTTGAGAAATGAGAAACGTGGTCAGTCCGAAGACAAAATCACCGACGATGCTATTTGCCGGCGTTGCCGATGGAATGACGCGACGGACGACGGACGATGGACGGCGAACGGCGGACGGCGGACCAACTCATGGTTTAAACATCGGTCCGGGCTTAATACGAACGAAAGCATAAAAGACTGTTGCCGGGGAAACGAGATCTAACGGAGGAACTTTTGGCGAACGAAGAACCGGAGAGGCGAAGGAAACAGCTGCTTTAAAGAAAGGGTCGAGAAGAAAAAGGAAACAGAAGAGGGAGAAGGAGGAAAAGCGAGTTTCGTCGTTGGCTGATGAGCTCGTCGCTTGATTGGTCCGGTTGTCGAAGAGACGATGTCGAATCACGCGGAAGACGAAAGCCGAAGAGCGATCTGTTTGAAGTTCGAAACGTTAAACGCGTCGTATTCTTCGACTCTGTAGCAGGCCACCAGTTCGCGACGAATCGATGCTTCGAACCATCTATTTTTCTCGCTATCCGAATCTTTCGAGAAATTTCCCGGACAAACGACGAATTTAGCGGTAACGCTAAAATATAATTTGATATTATTTACGTCATCTTCTTCCGATAGACGAATCTACGAACGGAACGTTCATCGCGTACCTACGATATACACGTACATAGTACGGTAATCAAACGTACGAGTTAAAAAAAGCAAAGTTGGCAAGTTTGACACGTTTAAACTCTTGAAAGCATGGTCCACTCGTAAGCCCGTTTTCTTTCGCGATATAAAAACGTATGACGCTAGCTTTTCAACGTCACGATTCCTAGATAGCCAATTATCGTCACTGGTAAAAATAGATGACGCGTAAAACTGCGACAAGTAGAATTTTATCACGGAATCCAAAAGGTGTTTCGTAGGTTTCTACGGTAGGAATGGAAACGGTATAAGGAACTCGACCGAACGGATCATTTAACTTTGTTTCTTCCATTATTCATCGCGACGCGTCGTCCGCGAGATCTCACAATATACTAAACGCCCGTGGTTGCCTTCTCCTGGGTGGAGAATCTCCACTGAATAACATGGAAGCAAATAAAACAGTTCCTCTCTTGGCTTTCGTCTCTGAAATTTTATTTAGGGCACGTACTTTTGTAACGCGGACCAAAAACAGGAGACGAAGCGAGAGAGAAACGAAGAAACTGATCGTTCGATTACTAGCGCGTAATTTCGTTACGTGCTATTCTATCGGTCTATTTTTCTTCATAAGTATCGGGACAGCTGTCGTTATCGTTATCAGTCAAATTTTGCGAGTCGTACGAACGCGATAGATCGTAACGCGTCTCGTTTCGCCGCTAATACGATTTTTCAATATTTTCTATAACTCGCGTAATACGTATATACGTCTATTCAGCGGCATGATCGAATTAAGCAGCTGCGCACATAAAGATACATAAAGATCTTCTGTTTCTTTAATAAAATCACTCGTCACGTATTCTCGTATTCCTGATTCGCATGCGAAAGATGTCAGTGGATTCGCGAGGGAGCGTGGATCAGCCAACAGAAATGTAATCCAAATCCGTGTGTTCTTTTGTTGACGTAGCGGCTTGCGCGGCTAAATCTTCGAATATACCGTGCTTGGTGTCGCAAAGCTTTAGCTTCGTCGATAACGGCCTCCTCGATAAAATATTTCTACTCGTTCGATCTCTCGTAAAACGTTATTCGTCCGTTGTTAACGTTGGTCACGTTTGTTCTTCACTTAGCAATTCCACTTCGGTATCGATATTTGATAAACGTTCACCTTCCAAATTTCGCGTAATTCGCTTCGAGTTTCGTCTAGTCGGGCAGATTTTTCTTTTCGGACGGAGAGATTTTTTAACGCGGCTGATCGTAACAGGATTAAAAAAGAAACGCAACGTTGTACATACGTGCGTCAACTTGCTGAAACTTGGTAGACTCGTAAAATTTAGGTGGAAAACGAATATCAAACGAATCCTTGGAATTCTGTTTCGTAGAAACACAATTTCACATCGTCAAAAGAGAAAGAAAGAGAAAGAAAAAACAGAATTCGATAACGTGAAATGATCGAGGGAAATCGCGAACGGCTTCTTAATGAGTCGATTAATCGACCTATCAAAGTATCTTTCTACTTTCATAGGTCTCGACAAATTTTAAGCAAAATTTCAACGTTACTTCACATACCGATGGTGTGACAATTATGCGACATAATCGACGCCTATTTGCCACGATCACGGTATCGATAATTACCCGTTAACAGAGGTTTTCGACCAACGGCGTCGTATTTCGCGATTCAACGTTCATCGCAATTACGGCGTAACGATCGACCGCGTTCATTTCCGTTCCGTGCTAACTCAGCTATCACGGAAACAGAAGTTTCGTCGGACGTACAACTTTCGCCACAGTTTCGTTTTTCTTTCTAATTTCTTTTCTCGTCGCCGTACCTCGAAATCGCCACAAATTTCAGCTTCTACGCGACTCGAACGAGAGACAAACTTTTATACGACGTATCGTAAGTGTCGTAGAGATGCACGGACGAAGATTGTCAGAGTGTGCGAGGGTAATTCGGGTCAGAAATTTGAGTCGAGATAATTAATTTGTTCCGTAATTCGTCAAAAGCCGAATACATCCGCCTTCGCTAACCAACCATCCTATCGAACTAAACGATAAAAAGCGTCGATTCGGCGTTTACTCCGACGACGAACGAAAATGTTTTTCCCGAAGGGATTCTAACGATGGTACCTTCCCGATCCTCCAGTCTTCAGGCATGATTTTCAAACTTGTTTCATATTTTACTCTTACGTATACTCGCGACGTTCGCGTCTCGTTACGGTGTTAGAGCAATTTCAAACAGTTTCGCACAACGCGTGTAATATATCCATGACAAAAATTCTGTCGTGCGTTCGCGAATACCTTGTTCTTTACCCGGATGATCCAACGTTCGTTCGCGATATCTCGTTCCGTTGGAATCACGAGGGTTTACACGAAACGTTGTTGTTTATACGCACGATCGAGAACTAGATTTATCGTCGTTGAATCGAAGAAAGTTTCGCGATTTGCTAGCATCGGCCATACCCCGAAAACGTTTCCTCGTTTCGACACGACTTGGTCCAATTTAACTTCGTCCGCGTGTTCGAACGTATCGGCTGAATGTTCCGTTTGTTTCGTTCGACCGCCAAGTCGCCAATCGTGAGTCGAGTATCTTACGTCGGACCATCGTGTCGCAACACGGAAATTAGACCGTTCCTTTAGTCGATTTTGCGTTCGATTCCACGTCTTGTTTCCTCCATAAACGATACCGACGCCGTTACAAGATTCCAGTTTCGGTATGTAAATCTTCGACGAGCCACTCTATAGTTGACCGCTGAAACTATAGCGCTTCGATAAATTACGAACACGTTCGATTCCTCAGTGATGCGGTGTCGTCGTGTCGCGAATTCAAATCTTCCAGAATAGTCTTTCTTCGTCTCGTTGTTTCACATTTTCCACCGATTAATTTCTTTCGCTTCTGCCCTATCTTTGTCGTTATCCGGCGTCAATAAAATTCTAGTTTCGTAGTTTCTCATCGTCTTTCTCTTGCAAATGCGCGAATATTCTGTAACTTGGGTAGAGGATCCAGATAAATCGAGAGCAAAAGGCGTTAAATAAAAGTTAACTTTTGCCGATACGCCGAAATTCGTGCCGACTTTCGCAATTTTGGCTAATTCGCGTCAACTCGTTGCAACTTTTTCTCACCTTTAGCTCGCGATCAACGATCTTCCACGAAAGTATACTTTACGCAGTTTTTCCTTGCGTTTCTCGTTTCTAGCGAAATCGAAATAAAATCGAACTTTTGTCAGCAATTTTTTAAATCGATGATTCTTTTTCTAACCAATACGATAAATATAAAGCTGTAATTCAAAGGAGAAAAATAAAACGCGGATGTTTACTCTTCGAGCAGCATTATCCAGGCTATATTAATAGAACGTCGAATTCTACGGAATATTAACGAGATCATTTGCAAACCAGAGTCAAGCGAGTCACAACGAGAGCTGCAAAAGCCGTTTAAATAATACATAAACTCTAAAATATTCTGTTTCTTCGATCGCTTCACCGTCGCAATTACGAAACGATGATTCTGCTAGTTTCCACAATGAAGACCTTTATTTCTTCCTACCGATGTTTACGAGCTACTCGCGATCCACGCGATTACGATTTCCACGAAAGCGCTATTGAAACTCGGACGTATTTTTTAATCGTTCGATCGCTCTGTCATCATCGAGCCAATAACTGGCAACTTTTATAAAGTTGTACGTATAAAAGTATGTATAAAATCGCGCGTAAAAAACGTGTCAAATATGTTTAAACTCGACGATCTATTGGAATATCTTAGACGCGATGATAGATACGATATATTTTTCGTGTCGAATAATTTTTGTCGTCGGTGGAATTTTATCCGAGAGAAAAAGAAAAAAGAAAAAAGAAAAAAGAAAAAAACAAAAAAACGAGGAAAACAGTGTCGTATTTACAATCTGAATCGTAAAGTCATCTATTACGTAGAAGCTGCGCTTCCATAAAAATTTCTTCAGCGAATATAGAGTCTTATTTGACAAATTGCTCCATGTTCGTACGGTTTGATCGTTTAAATTGGAAATATAGAAGCAACTCGTACGTTGCCGAAATTTAGATTTATCACGAGGCGATGATTGGATGGCGAGCGCAAATTTTCTGCAACCGATTTTCGTGTGAATTTTTCTCGTTGGCTCGTCGTAATTCAACACCCACGTTCGTACACCCACTCCTCGAAACAGTGGCGATTCCGGAATCTGGCGTGCAACGTAACACGCCGCGGTAAATAATGATCGCGACACGACAACTCGGCTTCCCCGTTATTATTTACGGCCGCCTGGCCTCCCGATATATCCACGGTAATTAATAATCGGACAATAAACGAACCGCAATAGTTACCACCCCAGCCGGAAAAGCAACAGCCTCCTCTATATCAGCTTTTCAATAATTCTATTTTTTTCTGTTACTTAATTTCTTCCTTTTTCCTCTTTTTTCGTTAATTATTTCCTATTCTCTCTTGGCTTCTGCGAGAACAATTTATCGCCGCCTACTTTTGTTTATTCGTTTACCGTTAGTTTATTTTATTCTTTTCTCTTCGACCTTTTCACGGTAATTGACCGTCTCGTTATCGTTTTCCATCGGAAAGCAAAAATAACTGTTATTTCCACGATATTTATGAAAAAGGTCACCGAGACAAAGAACATTTTTTTATCACTCTTGGCCATCGTCGATCTTTATCGATAACATCGTAACAGAGGTAATGGAGGAAACGCAGAGCGTAACCGATCTAAATTAAAACGAAGCACCTGAAAATTAAGCGAACGAGCCGAAACTATCGTTATCGGTCATGGACGATTAGACGATATCGCTCGAGAACTAACGTATTTTCGACCCGTCGCTAATACGTCGTCGATTTTTTTGTGTTCTTACGTGAAAGCGTCGTTAATATTTGGCGAAAGTAGCCGGTGGCACGCGTTAGATTTTACGCGAGTGCGATAAGTCGTAAGACGAGATCTTCTTATCCCTCTTTCTATTCACTCGCTTTTCACCCTTTCATCATATACGCTCGTATGTATTTAGCGACTGTGCCTATCGCATCGACATTTGCCTGCGCGACGTTATATCACGCATGGTGGGATCGTCGGGCCGTTTATCCGGGCCGGGCACACCGACCAGGACAGGCTGGAAATATTGCGTCGAATATCGGGTCGCCGTTTATCACTTACCATTCCGATTCGAACCTTGTAAATCCTTTTTTTAGCGTACGTTGATGCGAATCGATCGGTCGTCCATGCGTATTTGCGCGCAATCGATCGCCGCGTCGCATCGCCCCGATTAATTAACGAGCCTCTCTGTTCGAATCGATACGCGATGTCCACGCGTATACGATTCCTTTCGTTCTTTACCGGATGGTGGATAACTTTATTCGAGCAGCGGCGCAGCGTGTCGCGTCTTGTCGCGTCGTCGTCGACGTCGAGTCGCTTGGCTGAATGCGATCTCCGTTTCTTCTTATTGCGCGGTACGTGATACGCGTCCGTTATTACGTCGACGCGTTCGCGAAACGCGAGTTAAGCAAACTTAGAAATAACGCAATATTTCATACGCGTCGCACGTACGACGCAACCGGTCTGCGTTCTCTCGCTACGTTTCAGCACCGACTTTTCCACGATCGCGCACACGCGTCGCTCGAGCCCGAGATAATGCGAAAACGATGAAAATTCGACCACGAGCGCTTCATCGATACTCGCGCGGTTACACGATTAAGATCGTATCGTGGTTACTAATGGGATAAATTTGCATCGGCGACTTTTATCGTTGCGATTATTCTCGTAGAACGACGCGAGACGCAAACATCTTCCCTTCTTCGTTAAAGCGCGGAAGAGAATATACAGAGAATAGCGCGGAAATCTAAGAGAAGAGCCACGATCTTTTCGGTCTTTACGACCGGTCTACGGTTACGACCGTAACAAGCGGTATTTAACGAAAATGCCATCGGTACCAACTCCTATTACCAGTACATTTACTTTTGTCCTCGATTAGCGACTTTTGTCCAGTTTAGCGGATCTCAAGGATGAAAAGTCACGAGTCGAACGAAATTGCGGCATTTTTAAACGCCAAACTCGCTATCTTGCTCAGCGCAGTTCGTACGAGGGTGGTCCAGCGACGATATAACGTTGGCCATTTTACGCGCGGACTACATTCACGCGAACTTTTCGCGTATTTGCCTCGCATGCACCCGGACAGCTTTCTAACAGACGCTGGGAACGATTCTCTTTCGCCGGAAACGGGGACAAATTGTTCCAGTTCTCCGTTTTCCGGGTTTTCTTGCACCGTCCTTTACAATAGAGAAACGATCGGGTTACGGGTCGCCTGTGACGCGATGATAAAGGCGAGGGTTGGCTTTTTTAGATGCATTCCCGGTCACGGTTGAAAAGCTAATCCGTGGTCTTTTTCCTCCGACTTCTAGATGGAGTTCGTCCACGACGAATGGCCGTGTCTTTCTATATCTTTCGTCCCATATGGTTTTCAATCGAGTCGTGGTCCGTTCTCGACAGAAATATTTCAAACGCAGATTTTGGACGTTTAGCTCGATATTTCGACAAACGTCGATTCTAACATATGTTAGATTTCCTAATAAACGTTGCTTTTTTTCGGTTTTATATGGTTCGCGTTTAAAGGTAAAGGTTCGCAAAAGCCTGTTTCTATGCGAGTCTTTTAGCGGCTAAAATAGGTCAACTCCAACTTTTCGTAAATTTCTCATTTTCGTTATCCTGCGTAATTGTTGCACGATCGATGTTCAATTTTCGAAGAAACAACTACGTACGTAGGTATTCAGGGTGACTCTCGAAGCCGAAATGAGACGAAAATATCCCTGCACGCGAACGAAAGGAAGCGGGCGGTCTTCAGGCGTCCCCAGAAGCAAAAGTCGAGGGAATTTAAATCCGAGGACCGAGCAGGCCGAAGCACAGATCCTCTCCGACCGATCTCATTTCGGCTTTAAGACTCGTCCCTTAAATTTCCCGGCACCCGTGGCAAACCCACGCTGTATACTCTTTACGGCATTCGTCTTGAACGAAATACAAACATCGCGATATTTTCTAGCAACTACGTTGCGATTCAAAGACATTCTCCGTCTTATCGTCGAAAGACACGGAAAGGTTGATCTCTCGAGGAGCCCTAATCGTTAGACGTAAAATCTCTCGGAACGAGGTCTCGATCGTTTTATCCGGGAAAAATAAAAATCGCGTAATAAAAACACTTCTTGGTTTATAGCCGATGTTACGCTCCAGTTTCGCCATTCGAGGACATCGTCACGTCCGGAGAGAAAATTTTCGATAACAATTTCATCGCGTTAAATCTAGGTAGACCGCGCGCAATAAGGACGTGCGTCGCAGACCAAGCGACGCTACATTTTCTTCCCGTTCTTTCTGCTCGCTCGACGATGTATTTTTATTGCCGACAACGAACTTGGCTTATTAGATTACACGGGAAACCGGTTCCGTCGTCATTCTCGCGATAAAACCGCGAGTTCGGTCGAGTTATCTTCGCACGATCCGTTCGAAACTTTCCTCTTAAAACATTCAAACAGCTTCTCGCGCTTCGTAAGCTGTCGTTCGGTTCGCCAATTTCCCTTTTACTCGCCTTTAATTTTTATTCCGCCCCGCGGAGATCGAGGTGGGTGGAAGAAGATGAAAAGTAGAGTCAAATGATGGAAACAGAGAGAGCGAGAGAGAGAGAGAGAGAGAGAGAGAGAGAGGCAAAGAGAGACAAAGAAAAGGGTAAGGATCGAGGAACGTGATTCATGAAGGTAAAAAGGAGGATAGAGATAAGGGGCAAGGTGTGTGCTTGCCGGAAGCGGCGGCATACGAAGAGAAATATTCTGTCTCGCATCTTGAAACGCGTATCCTCCTCCGACATTTTTAAATGTGAACAAACGAGAATTTCATCCGGTAACGCGTCCTCCTTCGTTTCCGTCACGATTCGCCGCCTTCCCTTTTCTGTTGCAACTGTGATACGAAAAATTGGAGCGTTTATTACTAGCTCTAACAGTTAATAGTAAAAGGATCGGTATCTTTTTTTTATACCGTACGATTTATTTGCGTGCCTTGCAAATGTCTGTAGAAAATGTTTCGACAATTCCTCGTTGAAGCTTGGAGTCACGAACGAAACGCCGCGTTTTCTAACGATACAGGATATCTTGCCTTCACGGATGCGGAATGCTTCGAACAGAGGCTTACAGAAAATTCCAAAAAGATCGCTACAGGGCACTTACGAGAACCGCTGCGACGCGATATCCTACGGATAGCTCGGAGAATATTAGTATCTCGATTTCACACGCGCGCGTATCTTTTTCAAACGTATCAAGAGTAGTATCGAATAGCTGGATCGCAAATTTTATTTACAAATGTATTACGATACAGAATTTCGTACAGAAGGATAGATTTGATTCAACCGAAGCAACGCCACGGATGTTGTCTCTTAGGATGCGTTGTTCGTCCGGAAAGCATCTTTAACTTCAGAGAGCACACGCGCATTCATCAAAACGAAAGAGAAGATAATAACGAAAGAAGCAAGTTACAACTCCCTAGGTAAATCGTAGCGCCTTTATCCGTTCCTTGACAATTGCTAGCTTCTATAAATTGTGTCTCGTTCGACTGCCTTTTCAATTTTACCAGTCCTGACCCGTTTAAAATTTTATCCACGAGGGAACGTCGATCCGATCCAGTTATATCGCTCGTGAAGATAAAGCCCGGATAAAGGTAAGAAACGTATCTGTTGAAAGTGCAACGCGATACAACCAGTAACGTAACCCCGCGATTCTCCTTTCGTTCGTTGCCTAACCAATGAGATACTTTCTCGGACAACTTTCCTCCTTCTTGCCGTCGTTTTATGTACTCTAGAACGTACTCTGCGATCGAGATGCGGTTCTACGATGAAATCTTCCAAACATCGTTCGAACGTTGGAGAAAAATTGGAACGAACGTACCCCGGCTTGCTGCATTCGACCCTGGATAAAATCGATCGTATCGTTGTTATAACTTGGATTTCTTACCACAGATTTATTAACGTTAGAAGTATCAGAGTGATTTTTCATAATAATCCTATAGATTTACGACGGTGCTTTTTTGCGATTTTCAATGATTCTTTCTCAAATATATAACGTATATAAAATATCTGATAAAAGATAACTTTAGCGGTATACAACGGTATACATGTATGTATGTATGTATGTATGTATGTATGTATGTATATATATTTGTACACGTAGGTATTACAGCGGTATCATATCGATATTGACACAGGAAAGTATTAGGTTGTCCGAAATGTTTCTTTCGTTTTATAAGGAAATAATAGACGCACAATGTTTTTTGTTTTATATCAGTTTATCGAATTATGCACGAATATAATAACAGAAATAGAACGAAATGGATCGCGCCTGGATTCGATAAAATAATATAAAACAGAAATTCTTGTTCATCTATCATCGCCTAGTGAAACGAAAGGAACTTTTCGCGCAAGCTAATATTCTCCTCGCAAAGATCGTTATGTTAAACAGATTGATATATTTTATTCAATTTGAAGAAACGCCGTCGAAAGTTAAAAGCTGGGAATTCTACCATGTGCCATTTTTTTCTTACGTTCTAGCCCGAGAACAAATTGAATCGACTTGCGTTATTAATTACGAATGTATTTCATCGAACTTACCTCGGATAAAGGATTTAAGAAGCTGACCTACATCGAGCGAGCTTCTACGTGGAATTGCTTTAAGAGGCTGTCTAATCAGGCTTCCTGTCTGTTCATGCAGTGGCCCACAATCGATTTTACGGTGCACAAAACTCGACGAACGGCAGAGCTGATCGACGGGCACGCGATCGCTCGAAAACTATTCGCAGTTTGATCTTAGTTCGCCCGTACTTGTTCGCCAACTGAAATCGTTTAAACGTCGATTGGCTGAAGTCGCTCTATTTCGAACAACGACACATCGATGTGCTAATGGTAACGCTTCGAGGAGAAAACTTGTTCGTTTATGTTAAACACGCAGCGCTACGGAATACAGTGAGATCCTCTGAATTCCAAACGTTCGATCAAATCAAAGATATTCTTCGTCTTAATTCGTTTTCAAAGCGGATGTCGCATATGCGTGACCGTGGCTGTCGGCGATTACAATAATTAAAACGAAAAAATTAGTCGCAAAATAAAATAGATGGTCGTGGGACTATCGGAAAAGATATAGACGTGCCGAAACGTTTCGAAAATATAAATTTAAAAGGAAATGTAATAGAATCAGCGGAAAATACGAGAAACTTTTACGAGAAATTTTTATACGAGAAATTTTAAAAATTTTAAATTGATACTCGCGTATACGAGTGATGCGAATCTTTGCGTCAGATATTTTATCGCGTTATCTATTCTAGAATATACACGCGTATGTACGCGCCAGCGTCTTATTTGTCTCGTTCCCCAAAATCGGACAAAAACGAAGGAAAATGAGAGTTTCTATAAATCTCTACTCGAGGTAACGATATTTGTATGTAAATTTATTTATTACTCTCGCCAATTATAGTTCGATCTTGCAAAATTATAGTATTTTCTCTTTTTACATTTTCGAATTTCCTCCGTCCGCAATTGCATAGCGCAACACGGTCCGCCGTAAAAGTGTTCGAACTTGCAAAATTTTTCGCCTCGGAATTCTAGTTCTCCGAGTTAAGACAAAAGTAGCAATTTTCTCGCGTCAGCCGTTTCGCGACGTTAATTATCTCGCCACATAGCGCTCGCACGTATCGAGGAAAAAAGAAGGTGGATCGTCAGGGAGGAATCCAGCTTGAAAGCATTTCTCGGCCAGTGACGGATAAATAGAGTTGCTGTCGAATCAACTAGGATCGATGGAACGACGTCCAATCTGTCGACCCATTGCATTCGCCCCTTGCAGAGTCACGGACCGATATACGTGTAGCAGGCGAGTGGAGTGGCGCGTGTAGGTAGTGCTGCTGTCCTTTTGAAACTTCAATCTCCAGTTACTTGGATCTGGCGCTGGAACCAGTTCGTCGCGCGGGCCAGTTTGTCCAGGCAACAAAAGCGGACGTTTCCTATGGGAAAGGGGTAATTTTGTCTTTGGAGCAACTTTAGGACCGTGTATTTCCGCCACTTACCAGAGCGGTTTCTACGGACTGGTTCCGAGAATCGCGCAAACGAAATGGCAGTGAGAAATATTTTTCATCCGATTCGAGGATGATAGTTGTTTCGCGATTTCGTCGAATTTAAGAAATACGTATTTTCACGATAGAAAAACACGATTAGATCGAAAATACGTAGCAAGGAACGCGGCAAAGAACGTAGTGGGCTTATTTTCGCTTATTCGATTTCATATCGCTTACCTTTAATATCATCTTGAATCGAAATATTTCTATCAACAGCTGTACGCCTATTCCGTGTCTAGGAGAAAATGGCAGAAAATGTTATTCGGTGAAATCGTGGATGTTTAAAGGAGAAAGATTCTTCTTCTTAAAGATCGGCGGGAACAAATGGTAGAAAGGAAAGGAACAAAGTCTTGTAAAACGCATATCGTATATTTCATAATTTCGCCGTCGAAGAAAACTTTGGATTTTACGTCAAGTTCGAGTATTACTGTGCGATCTGTCCCGATACAGAAGTTCAATTGCGCGCCGTGAGCGCCGTTCGAGAGCCTCGTCCGTCGAGCGACAGATCAACGGATCAACGGAAAAAGAATGACTTTATCTAAAACGCGTAGCTGCCGCCGCTTTAAAACTTCGCTTCGTATCGCTAATTGATGAGCTTAGGATCAGGTTGGCAGTTAATCGCTTTTCTCGCATCCCATTGTGCCCATTGAGCCGCTCGAAAACGCTTTACGAGTGGTTTAATCCTTGATTCGTAACACGAATTTTCGCTAGTTTACGATCAAAGGATATCTCATATTTTTAATCAACGATATCGCGTTAAATATTCGAATTTATTTTCACGAACCACAGAACCGTATTACCGCGATCCTTTGATACGAAAATCGGTAAATTTGAAAAACGTGTGCTTTTACTTAGAGAAATAACGATGCCGACGAAATAATTTAATCTCTTAAGCATTTTCATTTGTACTAGGTATTTGTAGTTTTACGACTCGTCCACTTGTTCGTGCTTCTGCGTAATTTTACAACCAGTCGATATAGAAAACAACGAGACGTACACGTTGTTGCATAACATTCTCGTTAACTAAGAACGATGTAAATACAAATGTTCGTGACGCGCGTAGTCGATGTTACGAATTAAGTACACTGTATTCGTTCGAGTGGAGAGGATCGAGCATACGTCCGATATACGTATGCGGCGCTTTCTCACTTTTCTCGATTATCTCGTCGACGATCGAATCGATCGCGCGCTCCTCGATGACGCTAGATACCATCGACTAGGCGCGCTTCGCGATCGCTCCCGCTTTCTTTCACGCGATGCTTCGGCCTGGCTCTTTAGAAAACTAGATAATACTGATAATTCGAGCCTCGCTCGAGCGGTCCGTACTCGGTACACACAGTCGACTTTTCCTCCCGTCGACGCATGATTACTCGAACAAAATGTATAAATAAGGAAACTCACTGTTACAGTCATCGAATAGCTTTTCTTATTAGATACGTCGTATTTCTTATCTTCGTTCGCAATCGATATCCGAATTCAAATGGAACTCGGTAAAGAAGGAAAAGCGCAATTACGATCGAACGAACGATCGTCGCTTAAACTTGTCAACGCGCATTCGTTCGATCGCCGATACGAATATACGCGAGACGCTCGATCTTCGTCGCATCATCACGCCATTTTCCGACGAACGCACGTCGACACAGATTCGGAATCAAAGACTCGCGGTGCATCGCCGTAAAACCAGCTTCCGAACACGGATCTCGGAAACGTTGGAACGCGACGAAGGAATGCAACGGCGCGAGGCGGCTTCCGAGCATTATCCAATTTAAAGTAACCGGCGCGTAGTTCGCGCTTTCTTCGTCGACACGCGCATAAGTGGCCACGTATAAGAGTGCTCGATACTTGCGCGTTTACGCAAACTTGATCGAACCTGCGCTGATTTTCGAATCGACGCAGTTGGGCACAGTCAGGCGACACGGTTTCCTAGGAATTTTCCCGAGACAATCGGTTGCGACCGTAGGGAGGAAGGAACAACCTCCCGCC